TAGTTAACTGTAAGTGTTAAGTCTGTCAAATACGTGACCCCCGCCCCACAGAGTCCAAAGAAACTTAACCAAGTCTTTAGACTTGAGACTAGACCACACTGTGGTTGAGAGAAACCACAGTCATCTTTTGCTTTTTTCAAGGCTTGGAAGCCCTGAAGGGGTGCACCTTGTGCAGCAGGCACTAGAACCAAAGCATTCTGAGCCTAGAACCCTCCCGTTCACATACTCGAGAGCAGCAGGAAGGCTGCACTTCCCCAAGCACCAAGTACACAAACACCTGGCTACTCTGGGAAGATTTCCTTGGAGCAAGGCCCCAGCGGAGGAGGCGGCAGTAAGAACAGCTCGGCCCAGGGCAGAGTAGTGATGCTAAAACCGGGCACCTGCGTCTGCACTGTTCTGCAGAGCAGTTGGGAAATTGTTACCACTTTGTCTTCATCAGATAAGCTTGCTTATCTGATGAGGAGGAAGGAGAGTCGAGCTCCTCAAAGATGTTTTGCAGATTTGTTTTGGTCTTGTTGCTCCTCCCTGCTGAGAAAGGGTTTTAGTTTAGAGAGTTGTTTGAAACTTGTCTGTCAGTAAATAATAGTTAAAGAAACTGCCCTGGGGTTGAAGGCTCTGAGCCTTAGGAAAGGGGACTCGGGTCTGTTTGCAGACTGTAACGGGCTCTGGGGGCCCGGCTGCTCGGACCAAAAGGTTTCAGGTCCACAGGCGATTCTCTTCTTATTCTCTGGAGAGTGATTTCATGGTTTATGTCTGGTGCTCAAGGAACAGCTTATTTTTCAGATGGGATTCAGAAGATACAGGTTTTGCTCAAGGACATTGGGGTCTGAGCGGCCCCAGTTTTAATGCAGGGCCAGCTGCTTCTGTCATGACGGTGCTGGGCCGTGGTGGACAATGCTCTCATCCCTGCCTGCCTGCGGCTTCTCCGATGGGGCTGGTGGCGACAAGGGACAGCAGAGGTTACTTTGCTCTCGAAGCCGGCACGGGGAGGGGGTAGGGTGGGAAATCTTGGACAGTCTCTGCTCTTCCTGGATACACATCACTCACAACTCATTTCCTGAAAATCCTGATGTGATCCAGTGCTGAGAGATGGCTTCCTGCCGAAGTGCTGAGCCAGCCCCTTGTCAGGGAGGAGATGAGAACAAGATGTGGTCAGAAAAGGGATAGCTGGGCCAGGAGGGCCACTCAGTGTCCATGTGGCCTCTCTGTGTGGGAATAGCAGTGTCTTTGTTCTTGAGCGCAGCACTAGGGTCTTGGCTGGCACATGGGTATATATGGTGCTAAATTGGGGTGTAGAGGATGTTGAAAAGCAATGCTTTGTTCCCTAGTGATATAATTGTACACATGATGATGAAACATGGCCTTTCTTTGGCTGCTAAAAAGAAGGCTCTTCCTGGCCAACATCTGCAGCCCCGTTTGGGGAAGGATTTCAATAAAACTAGACCTGAACTCTTGCTTATTCACCTTCCTTTTCCTGCTTGTGCTTTCCTTCCTCTTATGGCTCTTTGCAGACATTCATATCCAAGAGATTATGGTTTCCTTTTTTTCTGACATCATATATGACCTCAAGGCCACTGTCCTCACCTTCAAATTGCAATTTGGTCTACAGGTTCCTGGCAATGGTTTAGTTTTATGCTTCCACCGAAACAGAGCAGCAAAGTGCTTAAAGAGTATGGGCAACAGGATGGTTTTCAAATTCAGCCTCTGATGCTGCTGTGGACACTTGGCGGCTCTGTGTCCTCGCCTACAAAACGGGGAGGTGTGAGTGTGCTGCGATCTAGTACTTCAGTGCATGTGAACAGTTATGATGGCAAATTCTGTGGGTTGCCCAAGCTCAGAACGCTCCAGGATGTGGTGGATACAGGATGGGGCAGGGGCTTAGACAGTAAAACATGTTTACACATTTCTGAAATTTTCCTGAGAACTTGTGGTCTAAGGCGGTGGCTCTAAACTTGAACCTGCATCAGAATTACCTGGAAAGTTATTAAAAGAGAAGGCTGGGTCCCAGCCCTGGAGCTTTCCATCTGATTCGGTGGGTCTGGGGTGGACTTAACAATTTGTATTTTTAATTATATGTTGATTCCAGCAGGTAGGTAGGTGGAAGAGGAAGCAGATTGCTCCCTGTAGAGTCAGAAGACAGAATGGAAGCCAGTGGGTGCTGGCTGCCGAGAGGGAGCTTTTAATTCAGAGTAAGAACTTTGCTGTGTGTGTGTGGTCAGACATGGAATGAGTAGTCTCGGGAACTCTTTGTCCTGGAGGTATCCAGTACTGAATGGCCACCTGGCAGATTCCTACCCTAGGTAGAAGTTTCATTCACTCATATATTTATTCATTCATCTATCCATTTGTTCAGAATAAACATGTACTGCCTGCCTGGTAGGGGCTGGGAGGAAGCCTTGAAGCACAACTGTGGTCTCTGCCTTTAGGGATGCCAAAGTTTAGTTAGTTTGATTATATGATTTCCAGGGTCCTTCTCACTGTTGGAGAGTGCTGTGATGATGGGGCAGCTCTTAGAATAAGAAGCTACAGAAAGATTCTTGTCTTCTGAGGATGTGTGGTGAGAACTGACCAAAATGTGGATACCTCCACAGCTCAATTTGGATTGCTCTCTTCGGAGCATCTTAATGTCACTGGATAAATGACTTTTTCCCTGCCAAGACTCAGAAGAGGCTCAGGGTGTATTTACTGTGAGTGTATTTCCTGTAGGAAAATTCACATTTCCTCACTGGTACCTAGGATGGACCATTAAGCTCTGAACCCCTGACTGCTGTCCATTATGCAGTCTGAAAGTCTGAAAGCAGATCCAGGAAATGGGCAGCAGAAGTGAACTAATTGATTTTTATCACTCTCTCAAGTGAGGTACTGGTGAGTTAGTTAGTGGCTGGAGAATAGTAGAGAGAGAAACGGGTAAATGCCAGGAATTTTTCTGGGTTCTTCCATCACAAGCCCCGTTGAAAACAGTAATGATAATCACTAATTTTATCAAGCTTCATCCTGTGCCAAGCATGGTGTTCAATCTGCCACATGTACTATTATGTTGATTCTTTTTTATTTCCGGTACCGGGGTTTGAACTTAGGACCTTGCATTTGTGAGGCAGGCACAGCACCACTCAGTGAAATCCCTGGCCTTGTGTTATTTGATTCTTAAGACAGTCTGATCAACCAGGTATGTTACCCTCATTTTTGTGGAAGTGGAAACCAAGGTAACTAACTCCTGGCCCTAGGGACAGAAGTCAGAACTGGAATCAAAACCTCATTCTTCTGGACTCCAGACCATAATGCAGATTCCTAATATGCTGAACTAGTCATTCATTACTTCAGTAATTAGCTGAGTAGTTCTTTCATTTGGCAAGTGTTAAGCATTGATATACCAGGGAGCAAACTGCTTGGCCTCAGCCCTCATGGAGCTTAGTGTGTTTCCTTCAGACTGTCCCAGATCCTGGCTGGTTAGACGCTAAGCCTTAGCAGCTAAGGAGAATGAGAAAGTTAGTGGCAAGTTAGTGAGTGACCGGAAGTCTCCATGTGTATGAGACTTTCTCTGTGCCGGCCAGGTTTTGTGCTTTGATTTACTTTTACATATACCTGTTGGGGTTTCTTTCTTCTTGTCAAGGCTGTATGTTAATTCTCGAGGCATTTGCCTTCTGAGGGCGCTCTGTGGAGGAGGGAGAGTCTGAGTCCGGAGCCCCAGAACTTGGAGCTGAAAGCAAGCCTAGATATTCTACAGAGACCCTCTCTCCCTGGGAAGTGTCGCCTCTTCCGAAACATGGATTGCCCCTTCTGATATCTCTGGCCACCTGTGCTGACCTCAGCCTTCATTTTCTACCTTTTAAAAGCAGTTTTGAAATAGGTTTTGTTTTCAAAATAAACATCTGATTATTATTTTAAAAGTCAATTTCAGAAATATGTAACTTTGATCATTGTGATCATCTCTTGTAATCCCCTGAAATCATCAGCTTTCACAGTAGCCATTCCAGTGCATGCACTCGTTTGTGCATTTGTCAGGTTTTCATTAAAATGGACTTTCAAATTACAAGCTTTTCCGAAATTTACTGTTTCTAACTCCATTTTAGACACCTTTCCACTAGAACATATATCTCCACATCATTATTTTTTTCTTCCATATTAATTTTGAACGGTGTTTTCCATTAGAAACCCCTTTTGCCCACTGACCTGGCCTTTCTCTGGATCAATTCTGTTAGATGAAACATCCATTTGGTCCTTTCATCTTTCTTTTGACTTTTAGAGAAATTCTGGGAACCTTGTTTGGTGTTGCCTGGCTTGTGTTGTGGTGTTCTTAACTTCAGCTTCAAAAGGTCTGAGACAAGAGAGAAACTACTATCCAAGTTTAGAAAATAAGGAATTTATTGGAAGAGCAACATACAGAACTATCAGGTCACAGGAAATTTGAGACTTCTAGGCCTTAGGAAGGGTAGGCAAAGGCAGCTCCATTTACCCACATAGCAGGAATAGATACAGCGCTTCCCTCTGTTTGAACTTGCAATTGCATTCCACTGGGGTTGCTTAAAACATATGCCAGCCCTGGACCAGGACCACGTGGTACCCCTTGATGGACAATCCCACCAAAACATGCAACAGGGAGGACATTATCTTTTCCAGAAAAATTGATGTGCTGATACTCAAACTCAGTGCGTGTAATGTTGGAAAGTTGATTGCAGTTTAGGATAGGGTCCATAGACCCTGGAATATTTCATGTATGTGTTTGTATGTCTATTTTCTCAGGACCAAGAAAAAACTAAAATTATTGCTTTAATTCTGTCAGCTCCATCTGGTTGGAGTGATGATCCCAATAAATATAAAATTAATGACAAAATTCCTCATTTTCCTTTTTATTCCTGACCTCCTGATGGCCACCCAGTATCTTCTGCATGGAGAGGCTTGGGGTGGCCTTTCCTGAGCCAATTAAAATCACTGGCCATTGTTACCAGGGGGATTGAAGTCCATCAGCTAAAGATACAAATATGTGTTTTTATTCTTTGCAGGCAGATTTTTGCTCCAGGCTATACAGAAACCCACTATACTCCAAATGGCAACTCTCAAACCACCACTCTGAAATCTGAGGTAAGTTCAGGTCTTTTCCAGTAGCTGCCCTAGCTGGGTTTCACTCCTAGGGAGTGAGGAGGTGCTGGAGATGCTCCCTTCTCTGAAGAGATTCTTTTCCCCCTGACTAAAGACCAAAGGAGCAAACAGGAGAAACAAAATATACAAAATGTGCATCTGTTGTATCTCACATACCCCCTGTCATTTGCTGAATAAAACCACTGAACAAATAGAATGTTCTAGGGTAATTGCACTGATAAAATTGCTATAAATCATCCGAGAGTTCTGTTAATTACCAACATATTAACAAAACTTTTAAGTAAAAAATAACTTGCTCATAATCCTGTCATCTCATCCATTTAGATGTTTGATCAGGCCTTTTGAAAAGTAGATGTATAAGGTATACTGAGTTGTAATTACTGTGCATACAAATTTTATAGTCTGCCTTTTTAATGTGATTTTATGGTATGAATGTTTCCTTATTGTGCTGCTATCTTAATATTGGACATTTCCCCTTTAAAATTGTTATTTTTTATTAGTACATGTTTGCAGTACATAATGATACATCTTTTGTGGGTAATTGGTACTCATACATGACACATCTTAATTCTTTGTACATCCTCCTAACATCTCTCGGTCCCCTTCCCATTTGTTAAAGATCTATCTCCCTATTTCCTATTGTCTTTTATTTTGCTCTTTGATTTATTTATACTTTGGGTTTCTCGTATAAGAGAAACGATATTTAAGTTTGTGTGTCTGATTTATTTCACTAACATGGGTTCAAGATGCGCCTATCTACAAATGAGTCACATTTATCCTTCTATAGCAGACCAGTACGCCATTGTGTATAATACCACATTTTCTCTATCCATTCATCTGGTGATGGGCGTATAGGCACTATCAGTTACTAATAGTGCAGATTAATATATTAGATTGCCCTAGAATGGGGAAAGGGACTCAGGACAGTTACGTTAATAGACCTAAGGGACCTACAGTGTGGTAGCTAGGTAGCTGAGGGGCTGTTAGATTGCAGGATGTGACGGTTAACGCACCTTCTTTTCCAGGTCCTCCTTGGATGGGGGCGGAGGGGAGAGTGTGTCCCTTGTCTGCCACAGGGAAGATAGACTGTGTTGTCTCATTTCCAGGGAAGCTGTCTAGCTGCCATCCATACCTCTGCCCTCATCAGTCCACACTTCTTCCTTCTTCAAATCTCTGTTCTCTGCCTCTGAGGACACGGTTAAGGGCAGGGACTGGGTAACAGCCAGGCTCAGGGAGCTCTTAGCCCTTACAACCCCACAAAACACCCTCCTCTGAGATTGGCTCCCTCCCGCTGTGCACCCAGAGCTCAAAAAAGGGTCTCAGTCCACAAATGTGCCATGAGCTCATGCTTCCTGGCGTGAAAGCCCCCTGAGGTGGCTCTATAGACTGAGAAGCTGCAGAATGCAGTGACTTCATGACTGATCTTGACTTGTTCTTTGTGTTCTGTGCTTGTACATTAGGCAGAGACGTTGTGAGACCCTTTCAGAAACAGAGCAGTAGAAGAGAATGTTCCTTCCTCCCCGGAATTGGCACCCTTCCTGAAGGTCTTGACTGAAGCACATCCTAGCTGAACCATGGCACGGCTTCCTACTTTCTTGCATACCCTCCTGTACTCAGACCTGGGGGGTCCCAGTCCATTTTCTCACTGGGGAGCTGAGAAATCAAGGAGGAACTGGAATGGAATAAACCACTTGGCTGCTCTTGACCCAAGTACTGAGGGCAGTGCTCTGTTCAACTTGGCCAGGAGTAGCTGGAGTTCTGGGAACCTTATCAGGGCTCATCAGCCAGGCCTTTAGGTTGCAGCCTGAATGTAGGTCAGGTCACTGGGGGAATGGGCCTGTGATGTGTTCCAAAAGAGTTATAGGGTGTGGGATCTCAAGCCAGGGTTGTAATCTTGGCTTTAACTAAGTTGCATGGCCTTAATCAACCCTTCCAACCACACTACTGTTGAGTTTTTTCATCCCTCAAATTAGATATGCTGTTATTTGACCGTCTGGGCTATTGGAAGCATAACATGAATCACTGATTTTCATGGGAATTTATAAACCTCCTTTCTAATCCCACATTTTATAGATGAGGGAATTGAGAGGAGATGAGAAAAAGTAGCTTGCTCAACTTCAGAAGTAGCAAGGCTTAGGCTAGAACTTCCCCCCTTTTGCTTGAGGTGATAGGCATAACAAAGCATTGGCAAGAGAAGTCCTGTGTCCTTTGTGGATGCCGGTGCCACTGTGGCTGGGAGAGGCAGAGGAGAGAGTTTGGGGATGGGCTGCTGGAGTTCAAATCTCCACTTTGCTGTGCCACTTTGTAAATGACTTAAAACCTCTCTAATCTTTAGTTTCTTCCTTTTAAAACGTGAGGATAATTAAGCTGTTTCTTAAGGTTGTGGTCAGAACTAAAGGGAAAAAATCTCAAGTTGTTAAGTGCTAAGAGCTAGAGAGCTGTCAGCACTACTGTGACCAACAGTAGATGGCAAGTGTCCTGGTCACACGTGACAGTGAATGCAAAAGCCCTCTGTATACTTCTTGTTACAAGAGTCAGCTGTCGCACTGTTTCAGAGTGCATCTGGGCCTGGGCTGTGTGCTCCAAAAGCGTTGGTCCAGAGTCTGGAAGAGATACAGGGCTTCTTTACAGCTGGCTCTGGATTTGAGTTCTCTTCCCTTGTGAAGGCACCAGTGTTTTGAAACTGTGGCTGACCTGAACTTCTGAACTCATTGCTTCTCCATCATGTCCACTTCTGTGAGCCCCATTTACGCAACAGAGACTTGACCTCCTGCTTCTCCCTGGGCAGGGTCTTGTGTTGTGGGGTTTGTGGCCTCACTGTTGAGTTGTAAGGACCAATGTAAACTTGTTCATTTGATTATCCACCCCCAGGCCCCAGAGCCCAGGGATAGGTGAAGAAGCCACGTGACAGGTTGGCATTTCCAAATAGATGGACTCCTGGTCAGAAGGAGGGCTTGGCTGCCTCGTGTTCTTCCGTAGGTGCTGAGGGGCATGGCTTTCCTTTGCATTTCTCTAAAGGCTGGAGTCTGACTTATGGTCCACACTGTTTGATGCAAAGCGAGGGTCAGTGCCTGTCCCTCCTGACTGTGTGAGTGTGAATGGGCACCCAGCTGATGGACTGTCAGGAGACGAATGCCTGTGACTCAGTGAATGAGTCTAGTTAGGTGTCACCTTGGCCTGCATCCTCTGATCTGGCTGCATGACTTAGCTGGTTAGGATGTAGAATCGGCACAGCTAAGACCACTGATTGAGCCCTTTGCTGGGTGTCCACATCTCTCAAAGTCACATTCAGCCTTTAATGAAGGAGACTTTAATGACAATGTGGTCACTGATGTATATTGCCTACCACTCTAGACCAGGTGCTGTGCAAGCTGTAAATTGTACAGCTGCTTCTTGATAAACTCCGTGAGTAGATGCTGAAGACACAGAAGGCCAGAGAGCGATTGTTTATGTGGCTGGTAGATGTGGGTGCCTGGATTTACATCTGGCCTGGATATGCCAAGTGCTTGAATTTAATTGTTAGGCTGTACTCATGTCTAAAGCCAGGAGGGGGTAGAGCCAGAAAATACAGACAAATGGGCTTGTGTCTCCTGGGCCACATATCTGCCTGTCATCGACAAGCAAACAACTGCACAGATTGGTCTTGGAGATGGGTCCTTGCACTGTCACCCAGGGGAAGCCCCAGCATCCATGACTAGCTCTGCTCAGGCTCATGGTGTTGGGGAGAAAAGAGAACGCTTCCATGTGTGCAACCTCCATTAGGCCTTTTCAGAACTTGGCTCTGTCCTGGCGGCTTCACCTTCTTTCTGTTCTGGCCAGTTCATCTCTCCTGACCTCTCTGAGACAAAATGTATAGGAATATGTCCCTTGTTACTACCTCTCAGTTTCTTGGGGGAGATTCTTATTTTGTGCCTATTTGATTTAGTACTTTAGCACTCTCAACAGTGCTATTTGCCTCATAAATACTGTGGTTACCTACTTACGAAACACTGCTAGTTCCTCAGACTTTCATTTGCAATTATTTTTATTTGGACCCCTAATTAATCACTGGCTCTTATAAGACCATAAGCCCCTGAGATGCCAGAATTGTGTTTCTCTTTGCTCATTGTTGTGTCTCTGGGGCCTAGCCCAGGGCCTGGCACATAGTGGTGCTCCATAGCTATTTGTAGTATAGAAGAATCAGCCAGGTTTGGGAGAGCAGATGGCCATGAGCCACAATGACTGCAGAAGAGCATCAGGCCTCTTGGACCCAGGTGCCAAGTCAAGAGGATCTAGGTGTGGAGCAATGGGGCCAAGCATCATGAGCGATGGAAGGGATGGGGGTACTCAGTTTCTAGGGCTGCTATATCAGAGCACCATGGACTTGGATGCTAAAACAACAGAAATGTAGTATTTCAGAGTTGGGGGTTAGAATTTCAAAATCAAGATGTTGCCAGGGTCACGGTCCCTCCAAAGCCTCAGGGAAGAATCCTCCTTGCCTCTTGTGACTTCTGATAGGTCCGTAGTGTTCCTTGGCTTGTAGCTTCATTTCTCCAGTCCTTGCCTCTGTATTCACATGACTTCTTTTCTTCCTGTGTATGTGTCTTTGTGTCCTCCCTTCTTCTTCTAAGGACACAAGTCATGGGACCCACTTTAGTCCAGTATGACCTCATGTTAATGTAATTACATGAGCAAAGACTCGATTGCCAAATGAAGTCCTATTCTGAGGTTACTGGTGGACGTGCATTTTAGGGAGATACTGGTCAACCCACAACACGAGGTTAAAAAGGAGGCAATGGTGGGAGGTAGCCTCTTTCAGAAGCCGGTGTTTCTGGTGGCTGACATCATCTTGTGGCGAGAGCTCCAAACTAGGTCCAAAAATCCGGGGTTGTACAAAGGAGACCTTTGACAAATCTCTGCTCCTGTGAACCTATTCATCTGTTCAGTGGGCATAAGGACATCTGTGCTGCCCCGATCTCCTGGGATTATTATGAGGAACTGGCTTGGAGAGCTCTTGGAGAGCAGGTTGTAAGGTGCTATGAGGTTAGAGTAGATATATAATAAACGATCAGCTATCTGTCACCTCCATGAGGCATTAACATTGGCATGCTTATCAGTGTCATTTATCCGTGATCACTTCCTTTCTCTTTGCTAGGATCACTGCTTCTATCACGGGACGGTGAGGAAGACAGAAAGGTCCAGCGTCACACTCAGCACCTGCCGGGGAATTAGGTAAGGGACCCTGGCACTCTTCCCCAGGCTTGGGGTTGTCCAGACAAGCAGGGCTAGCCGAATGCTAGGACACTGAGAGTGTGTGTGGGGCCAGGCATGGAAGGAGCAAGGGAAATCCTGTATTATCCACAAATCCACTGGGGTTGGGTTTCCCTCTCCTGAGCAACTTGATGTTTTAAAACATAGGTTTTATTATATACGTATGGTCAGACCAGCAAGTCAGGAGATGACTACCATTGAAAAGGTGGTTTTACTCATAGAAAAAGGAGGCCCACTACCATGAGTGGCTACATGGGAAGGGCTAGAGTTATCAAGAGGCAGAGGGAGTGAGGAGAAATGTGGGTAGGTGCCTTTACTGTGGTGTCTGCCCCAAGGAATGTATGAGGCAGGGTAGGCAGGTTTAGGATTAGCTAGTTGGAATAATTTCTGGGGCTGTCTATTCCTTGCTCTCTGGTACCTGGCTCTGGGGTGATGGGGCAGGTGGATAGTGGCCTAGAGTGTAGGATCCCAATACAGTAGATGACTGGGGAGTCGGCTCTGATTGGGTGGCCTGCATTTGAACAGCGTAGTACTGGCAAGTTGTTTACTATATCTAGCAGTTAGATAACCATGGTGGAGGGAAGTTCTGCCAAGGGCAGAAAGACCCCGGATGTCAAAGCACCAGAAGACAGAAGATAAGAGATGTGGTAAATACACTGGAAATTGTACTTAAGCATTCTTTCCCACTTCTTAGGTCTTTTATGTTAGACAGACTCATGGATAGTGGAAAAGGAAATGAACAGTTTGTGAAAACAAATGATGGGAAAAGAAAGGAGCGAGGCAAGGTTAATTTTCAAAATAGAAAACCACCTGAAAAGTCCCACCCAGATAGAGCTTTGGAAAGAGAGAAACCTTTTCTTCTCCAAGCCAGGCTACCTGGGTTTGAATCAGTAGCAGTTTACCAGCTGGCAAACTTTGAGACTGCCTGGACTCTTTTGTACAATGCAGACAAAAAGAATATATACGTGGTGTTGTGGAGGTGAGATGTGCTAATAGACATCTGATCATCAGGCTGCACTGGAGCATAGTCAGCACCCATACAGTAATCTCTGAGGCCAGCGATGGCAAAACTTTCAGAGCTTGCAGTGGTACAAACAGCCCGCTGTGGCACATGTGCCGTAGGTTCGCCACCACTCTCTAGGTTCTGTCTTTTCCAGGTGATGTCCAAAGATGGGCAGAATAATGTCAGCTGGGAGGTCGCTCTTCAGGTCCATCCAGAATGACTGGATTATAGCCTGCTTTTACCAAGACCCCAAGTGGCTCATATGCGCAATAGTTTGTACCTAAGCTATGTGTCCCTTGAGAATATGAATTATAGCTCAAATCCTGGTGTCTTCCACCAGCCTGCCCTAGTGCTTTACATAGACTAGGATCTACCCTGTGTGTAGAAGTGATAAATATTATTCATTTAGACTTCTCTTTCTCTCTTGTTTTCATTTTTTTATTGAGATGAAGATCTGAAAAACGATTCTAATTTCCTATCCCAATTGCCTGCGTTTTGATTGTCTGTACTGTGCAGTGCCTATATTCAGTGTGCTGGTAAGCTAGCTCAGTGAAAAAAAGAAAAAGCTCTAATTTGTAGCATTTGCCTATAGGCTGGTAAAGCTGCTTCCATCATGACCCATTTCAAGCTACCAACATGAAGCTATTGAGGGCCGAATTGAGAGTACAGTACTTGCTCACCATTCATTGGCCTTTGTGAGCTGGAAGGCAAGGGCTGCACTGAGGATCCTTCCTCTCTTTATCAGTTAATTCATTCAGTGACTACAGTACTTATTTCATTCAACAAATTAATACTGGGTGTCTTGGTATGCCCATCCTCTATGCAGGTGGAGAGAAAATCAGCCTTGTGATTTTCAGAGCTCTCCATTCTCTCATCTGTAAAATGCTCATTAGCAGCAGGCATGGCAGAGATTGCTAAGTGCTAAATTAATGCTATAGCATTTTACAAGCACATGGAATTTGTATCAGCTTTTAACAGTGAAACCACGCCAAGAGCCAGGTTCACATAAAAACTGAAGGCCTCACTCGCTGCAGGTCCCACATGTCTGTTTACATATTGGGCCGTGTTCTCCCTGTAAGGCTGTGTGGTGAGTCTCTGGAGGAAATTAAGCAGGAGATAGGTTTTGGCTAGGAGGCCATAACAGAACGGCCCCAAATCCCCCACTCAGTGACCTGATTGAGTCCAATCAGCTGGCCTCTTGGTGGTGTTTACAGGCCCAGCCGCCACCACCTGCAGTCTACAAGTAAACAAAATCTCTCCCAAGAAGGAGGGAAAGGAACATGCAGGTGTGACCTGCTTCTCTCTGCCTCTTCCCCATCCCCTTCGTCTGGAGCAGTGGGAACTTGGCTTGGTCTCTTGGAAATCATTCCAACAGCCGGGTTGACAGCAGGAAGCACAGTGAGCCACCCATGTGTTTCTGCTTTGCATGCTTCCGTCTGCCCGGCTCTGCCCGCCTTCCTTTCCCAGCCACTCACTGTACACCTTGAGACCAAGACTGTGGGTGGACTGATTTAAGACCTGGAGGCTCAGGCCAGATGGGTCTGTTTGGACCCTGGAGGAGGAGGAGCAGCAGCTGCCATGGCAGCAGTGTTCACACCCATGGCCTTCACACTCAGGTCTTTCCCAAGGCTCAGAAAACCATGCTGCAATGGAAAATCTGCATAGCTATTGTTCTTCAACTTTTTCCAACTTAGAATTATGTCTTAGGTATACATAGATCTAAGAAATTATTTTAATGGTTGCTTAATATCTTATGTATCAATATATGGCAAGTTTAACTATACAGACAGCCTTTCAGAGGCACACAATAAATCGTCCTTAGTCGTATAATTGAGGGCTCGCTCATATATTACAGCAGCATCTCGGTCCTCCAACATCTGGGGCTTCTACTCACAGTGATTATGCCCTACCTCTGATCCCTGGACTCACAATCTCTGAGAGAGGGAAAGAAATTATAAAATGGAGAGTGAATACAGGAGAATGTGTACAGATGTGCACATGATGGCCTGGAATGAGCTCAAAGCTCCGAGTCAAGGGAGCCTTTGCGATTTAGCGCCACGCGTCCCTGCTGTGTGATTTCTGTGGTTTCCTCTCCCCATTTATTTTTGTCCTTGGCTCTGTCGTGGCCAGGCTGGAACCTCCCTGGGCCTTACTCAGTTGCATGTCTTGGTCCTGGGAAAGAGGTGTGGGCAGTGGGGGAGGGCTGTGAAGGCTCCACCCCAGAACAATGAGCCTGGACCTAAGGAGATGTAGGGTGGGCCCCTAGCTCTACATTTACTCACTGGATGATGTGAACAAGTTCCCTTCTTTTTTTTTTTTCTGGGTTTTCCCCTCCTCCACATAACTAGAGCAGGCCAAATGGTCAAAAGCCCCCTTTAGCATGGGCGGCTCTGGGCTGTGAGAAGAAGGGGCAGAATCTCAAGGAGGTGGGAGCACAAGGTGGGAGGTGGCTGCTGTACATGCAGCCAGGCCTAAGAAGGGCCATGGTGCTCTGACCCTTGAAAACATGGCCTTCCTTCTGGAAAAGAGAGAAATGCCACCCTCGGGTCAGGTGCTGTGTGTATTAAGCCCTCAGAGGACAGTACCATTAAGTTGTAACAAACCTCGTTTCTGGCATGCCCGGGTTCCTGTGTACAGTTTACTTTTTATCATGCTCTTAGCAAAAAGCAATACAATGGAGAGTGGAGCAAAGAGCCTGCCCCTGAGGTCCTGGCCACCCTGCCTCCTGGGCCCTGCAGCCCCCACCTACAGTCTGATCTCCGCCTCTGCCAGTGCTAATGTTTAGCAAATGAAACCACCCAAGACTCTTAGAAGAAAGCTAAACAGTTGATGGGAGCACGGAGGGAGGCCAGCAGAGGACTTAGGGCCGGGTGGTAACAGGGGCAAGCCTCCAACTACATTCTCAGAAATTCCTCCACTGACAAAGCTGGGCTTCACTATAAAGTTCTGGGGCTTGGGCCCGTCGTCCTCCATCTCCAGGTAGTCCAGGAGGATTGTACCTGGGACATGGGGTGAAACACTGGGGGCCACAGTGAGAGGAAGGAGGTCAGTGGCCACAGACTCATTGCCAAAAGGGCTGTCAGTGTTCTCCCATGCTTGTGCCTTTCAAACTGGAATCTGCCCACTCCTGGACCAGCTGCTCAGAGCCCTGCAGATGCCTGGCTGACCATGGGTCCCCAGCCAAAGTCCTTGAGTGTTGCTGTCCAAAGAATTACCTGTGGGACCTCTGCAGATGCTCAGGCTTGCAGAGTCTGAGTCTTCTAGATTGGCCAGGACATCTGTGCTTTTAATGCACTCTGTAGAGTGTTCTGATCCATAGCTCTGAGAGCACTGATCCTAGGGATTTCTGGCTCACTGGTTTGGATCTTCACTGAAGGAGGCAGATAGCATAGAGGTTAAGGGAATAGGGCCCGGAGTCTGTGACCCTCAATTCTTTGGCCCCAGACTACCTGTGAGAGCTTCTTATTCTCATCTTCCTCACCTGTAAAGTGATGTTTGTTTTGGTGCCTACCTTACAATGTGATGTGGGAATGAGTTTAAGAGTAATGTTTGTAAACACCGTGGCTGGCATGTGGTTAGTTCTCAGTACATGCAGAAAGTAGACCGGATGTGTCCTGTGCCTTCTGATCTTCAGGAATCTGAGGCCCTACTTTGGATAGGCCAGTTGCATCATGGCCACTCACTTCAGAAGAGAAGTTCTGGCACTGTGACTAGCAGACATCTGTAAGCTGGGGATACCTTTCCGACCCACTCTCCAGGGCTCTGGTGGCAGAGGCAGTGTAGTAGGGTCAGGCTTAAGGCTGTGGGACTTAGAAACTGACAGCCCAACTTCTGCTTTTATTCTGGCTACCTGTGGGACTTTCAGTTAATTATTTAACCTTGCTAAGCCTTAATTTTCCTAGTTATATCATGGAGATCATATTTATAAGTGTCACAAAAGCAAGTGTGAATGATAAAATGGTTAACATAGTGCCTGGTCCACAGCAATGGAGTAATTAATATGATGATGATTCACCATTCTCTACACATTGGCTTGGTCTCTATTCTCTTCGGCCCAGAGGCTTGCTTAGGTGATGCCGCATCAGCTACACCTGTGGCTCTAATGTTGAAACTTTCACCAATTGCAGTGTGGAACTTTCCACTCACTGGGTGTAATTTCCGCAGCCACACCCTGATGCACATAGGACCATCGATTGGCTTGTGGTCCAGCCCTGAGTTTTGCCCATTAGGGGAAATGGAGGTGGTAGGAGAGGCCTTGGGCAGCTGAAATGGAAGATAGTTTGGGAACAGGATGTACGTAGCAGCTCTCGCCCGTGCCCTTTCCTGTGCAGCACAGAGAGTGGATGTGACCCTTGCTCTTTGCCCACTCCCACTCCCAGCTGCTGAGGGAGCACCTGGGCACCCTGCCGAGGGCTGGGCAGATATTGCTATGTTAGCCTGGGTGAGGCCAAAGGGAAGCTGTTCAGGCTCCCTAGCACAGGATGAGGTCAGCCAGGGATGGGTTTCAGGCAGTGCTATTGCAGACGCAGCCTCATACTGTCTTCCCTGAGAAGGTCATAAGCTGTTCTCAATGGAAAAAGCCTGGGTGGGTGCCCCAAGGGGCAGAGGCCTGGGCTCTGGGAGAAGCCCTGCTGGTGTAGGTGGCAGAGACTCGGAGCTGGAAATACAGTGCTTTAGATTTGGAGCGCTATGGATGACGAGGGAGGTTTGGAGCATATGAAACGCTGCCAATGCCCAGGAACCCACTTCTGGGTTTCCTTCTCCCCCCGAGCCTCCAGTGCATTCCTCTGCTTGAGTGTTGGTTTCGCTGCGTTGAGGATGGCAGATAGGCCCAGGCCTCACCTTAGCCTCCGTGGATCTTGGGAGCACCAGGTAGTGTGGTGAGCCCTCTCTCTGGGTCCAGGTTAGCCCTCCAAGACCTCACAGATGTCTCTGAGCAGCTGCATTTAACCCATCTACATCAGAGCTGATGAAGGCCTTTGACTCTCTCTGTTCTATATTTACAATAACGTATTTCCTGTTCAGACCCTCTGCTTGCTTCCCCAGGGTGGGCACTTTGTTGGCCTCTCTCACTGCTCCATCCTCAGCAACTAGCATGATGCCTAGCGTGGAAGCTGAGAAGACGTCTGCGGAATGACTGGCTGTTCTCCCGCGGACCATGCATGAGAGCTGGTCCTCTGTATCTGTGGATTTACCATCTGCAGATTCAACGAACTATGAATCAAATATTTTTGAAAAATAATTCACAACTGTATTGAACATAACCATTTTCTTTCTTGGCATTATTCCCTAAATGTACAGTAGGACAACTATTTACATAATATTTATAAGATATATTTGGTATTATAAGTAATCTAGAGATGACTGAGTATTCAGGAGGATGTAAGTAGGTTATACGCAAGTTCTGCCTTGTTTTTGTAGGGTATTTGAGCATCTGTGATTTTGATATTCTTGGGTGTTATATAGCCGATACCCTGTGATACTCAGTAGTAGTTGCACTAAGGATAAGGACTGTGTTTAGATTACAGCTGGAACAGGTAAAAGGTGCATGAAAGAATAAAACGAACAAAACACACATCTTTATTCTGAGTTCAATTCTAGTATCTCTAATCAAGGGGGCAGAGTCACACATGCCCATTTGTGGGTGTCCTTTTACCAAACTGCTGTCTTGCAGGGGTAAAGAAGTTAGGACTGGTAGAAATTTCATCAGTAGTGCATCTCTAACTTTGTCTTTCAAGCACAAGTGCACCTGTCTTTCATTTAATAATATGAGGGTTCTGATAAGTTAGTAAATCATTTCCATTTTTAGGGATGGAAAAACTGAGGGTGGGAGTGATTTAAGGCATTTGTTAAGGAGCATGTGGCAATTGAATGTTGTGCTACATCCTGAGCCTACATCTGAGTCTGTAAAGTTTTGGCCTTGTGATTTGTCATCTGCCATGCTTAGTTTTGGAGCCTTTGGAATCCCTGTCCAACCATCCTTTATCAGTGTTAACTCTCCTGGGAACAGTTTTTAAAGACCTTTTTGAGCTTCTCTTGTTTAGGGGTTCTTAACCTGGAGTCTTGTGGTAAGGTTAGGACATCTGAGTGTCCTGCTATTGTGTGCCATGTCTCCTACACACATGCATTCCTCTGGAAAGAAGGTCTGAGATTGCATCAGGCCCTCACAAGAGGATACATAGCCCCGTAATAAAGGGAAGAGCCCATGGTCAAACCAACCAAGCCATTTTACATATGGGCCTAGGAGAGGGACTTTTCCAGGGCCATAATCTCTGACCAATGATTGTATGTCTTCTATTCATAGAGGACTGATTACAGTGAGCAGTAACCTCAGCTACATCATCGAGCCCCTCCCTGACAGCGAGAGCCAACACCTTATTTACAGATCTGAACATCTCAAGCTGCCCCTCGGGAGCTGTGGGATCCATCACCCCTCACTCACCACCAGGGACTGGGCTCTTCAGTTTACACACCAGACCAAGAACCGACCTCGCAGGGTGAGTTTGAAGGCCATCTGGGGAGTAGCTAGCCTAGGCTCGCCACCTCTGCGTGTCTTTACTTTGAGCCCAGGAGTATTTCTAAACTGAAGAAAAATGGCTAAGAAAGAGGAAAGTGCTTTCTTCTTTTATTCTAACTCACTGTTGAGTGTGAGATACTCTCCAAGAAAATAACTTCTCTTGGGGGAAAACACTACATTTAAAATACTTTGAGATGTGGATTTCAGAAACTATAAAGGTGAAAAAAAATGCTCCCTCTGTTGAAATAGCCACTTCCCTACTATGCACAAAATGTTATTTGTTTATACTGAAAATACCAGTATGTGGTCTAAAGGTTATTTGGGAACTTGGTCAGCAGTGTATTCTCTCTGGTCTGCCTGTCCTAGCCCAGCTCAGCTTGCTATTTTTTGAGAATAAAGGGCTGGATCCCATGACCCATGGGTGAGGTGGCTGCAGCCATGAGTGTCTCTAGCACCCACCTACAGAACATGTATGAAGCCCTGCTGCCTACAAACCACTTTCTTTTCTCAGTGGCTTTTGGAAGTGAGTCTGAATCCACCATTTTCTCAGCTCTGATATGTTTATATCTCTTCCTCAGATGAAAAGGGAAGATTTATACTCCATGAAGTATGTGGAGCTTTACCTCGTGGCTGATTATGCAGAGGTAAGGGGAGGTGATGGGTTTTAGCAGAAAAACTCTCTTGTTAGCTACTGTTTCAGACTTCCAACTTCTTTAGGGGAAATGCTGATGCCTTCGTCTTTCTCAGGTTTATCATATAATTTTGACCTTAAATCTGACCCAAGGCTCTTGTTGTCATTTTGTTTTTTATTTTTTTGCTTAATCTTGTTGTCATTTAAAAAAGTCAAAACGGGGCTGGGGATTAGCTCAATGGTTTCGTTTCCTGCTGCGCAAGCTCAAGGACCCGAGTTCGATCCCCAGTACCAAAAAAAAAAAAATTAAAAAGTCAAAAGGGGAAAGAGCACCAAGCGAAGCCTCTTCTAGTCTGATATACTAATCAGATGGAAAACCAGGACGGTTACCTGGACTGACATTGCGCAGATGGGGTCTGAAGACGTTTACAGTTCTGATGTCCTTTGTTTTGGGGGGTCCATAGATTCTCTATAGAAATTTTTAAAATTCTGTTTTACAAAGATAATAAGTATATTCTCCATCATTAGATTTAATACCTTTTTCCACCTGTGAATGGGTTCATTTTTATAACTATATTGGTGCCAAATGAGAAGTCAAGTTTCCCAAAATGGGGTCTCCAGACCAACAGCCTTTTTAGCAGCTGGAAACTTGTGAAAAATGCATATTCATGGGTCCTACCCCAGACAAACTAAATCCTAAACTGCAACAAGACCTGTGGAAGATTCTGATGTCCAGGTGAGTTTGGGAACCATTGACCTGGAGGAATAGCAGGATAGCCTTCAGTTCATACTTCTTCAACTGGATAGGTCTAGGACTTGGTGAATACTCAGCTAGCTCTCTCATTCATTCATTTCACTTAGTCATCCATGATTTCCTGATTTTCTACACGGATCTCAAAAAGCCAGAACCATTGCTGGCAGCATAGAGTTTTCAGTAATGGCACAAAAACTATAGTAGTCCCAAAGTATGACAACCACTAAGATGGTGCCTAGGCGGTATCAGAGTGCAAAGAATGGGAGTCCAGCATGACTAAGGGACCTGGGGGAAGCTTCTCTAAGGTAGTAATGCTGAAGATGAAGCCTGAAAAATGGGTTCCGCCCCCAGAAACCTATGTTGATTTAAATTAGCAGGTGTTACCTCCAGTTCTCACTTTATGTTGTGAGCGACTCAGCCACACAACCAAGCACAGATTCTGCACACTGGACCACCATGATGCGCCGAGCACTTGTGCGCTGCTCACACCTTGTGACCTTGCCTGGGTTTCCTGAGGGCAGGGCTCATTACCACTCCCAGCTGCCTACTTCCCTGTCCAAATGGGCTTACCAGCTCCCCAAAAGGCTTCATGTTAAGGCAGCTGTATGTAGCCCACAATCCCAAAGCATGGGTCCTTGGGCCCGTGGAGGCAGTGCCAGCTGTTGAGAAGTGTGCTGGACTTCAGGCTTGAAGGGCTCCTTTCACCGTTAGCTGTGGGAAGAGGGGGGCCCGTGAGCTGCCTTAAGGACAAAGAGGATTTAAGAAGGCTGAGAAGTGCAAGTGAGGGGCATTCCATGGAGTGTCCTGCTTTTTTTTCCTTTTGCCAGTACCGGGGATCGAACTCAGGACCTTGCACTTGCCAGGCAAGCATGGCGGCACTGAGCTAAATCCCTGGCCCAAGTGTTTTTGCTTTGAGAAAAGTTTAGCTTTTTAATTGATGTTGGTACTGGATTTTCTTCTCTGTGTGTGTGGGGGTGGGGGGTGGGATGGGGGGGTGGGGGTACAGTATTCTCTGATTTTTGTTTCTTTTCCAAAGGCAAGTGTGTATATAGGATGGGGGAAGAATGTGGGGAACAAAAACCAAAGCAAATTTCAAAGCCAGCTGAGGGTCTACACTCCAGCCCCTGCCCTGCAAAACTGCCCTACTAGGAGGGTTGCTAAGATAAAGTGAACTCCTCCAAGTCCAGGGCATTTTTCCATTTAAGTGTTACCCTTAAGATCATCTAAGAATGAGGTCTTTAGTCATGTTTTTTTCTGCCACAGAATCCTTTGAGCAGATAAAAGCCCCTGGGAACCCCAATAGGAGTATAGAAAGCCAGCTGCTTAAAAGAGGGCTGTTTTTTTCTTTACCTTGCACTGTCCCCAGTGGCATCTTGATACAAGATTTGATTGTTGTTTTTTATTTTGTAATGCTGGCTCCAGGGTCTCACACAACCTAGGCGAACGCTGTCGTACTGTGCGGGATGCAGGATTTAAGATGCACTGGCTATGAGTCTGCAGCAGGCACTAAAGCGGGGTGGGGCAGAGGTTGGGATCTGTCGAGCAGGGAAGAGAGCTTCTGCCCAGGGAGCCTCGAGCACTGTGCTGTCACCTGGAGCCACTTCCTGTTGCAGAGAAGGATGCCTTCGGGCCCAGTGGCACAGACATGCCAGCCCCAGGCTCCCTGCAAGGCTGTGACTCAGCCACTGTGGATAAGAAAAGGCCCCCATTTCTCAGGGGCTGGGCCCCCTCAGCTGAAGGCTTTGTGTGATGAATGTGACAGGTTGGAGTGGGGCTGGAAAAGGCCAGGCTGTATTCACAGGCTCAGGAATCAGGCTTGTCCCCACCCCTCACTACCTCTGCCAGGGGCTTCTCGTCCTCTGCAGAGAGAAATACATTCCTGACAATTAACCTGCAGGAGGACAGGAAGACAGCAAAGGGAGGTCTGCACATCTGTGATTTACAGTGTGCCGCTGAGCTAGGACACCCTTCAGCTCTGGGCTCTGAACTCAGAGCAAGGAGTGGAGATTCCCACTGGGAAAGGGAGACACAGTCCGGCTGCCTAGGAGAGTTGTTGTGAGTAAAAATGAGCAAGCAGCACCTCCGTCCCTGGGTCCAGGTGGGAACTCCTGGAGTAGTTCTCCGCATATTCATGTCCTAGGTGAGGGGGAAACCAAGGGGAACAAAGAATAAAGTGTAATATTGGAAGAGGGGACAGGACAGCTGTGAACACAAGCCTGTGATACCGCGTGATGCCAACCGGATGTGGGGTAGCTGGGAAAGGATGGTGGTGTGCCATGCTATACTTTGGTGTCACCCTAGAAAACGTAAGGTTGAAGTATTTTTTTTAGACTTGGGATTTGGAAATTACAGCTCATGACCAAAGCCAGCACACCACATGTTTTTGTAAACAGTTTACTGGAACCCAGCCAAGCCCATTGGTTTTATTGTTGATGGCTGCTTCCAAGTCTCTGAGGCAGAGCTGAGTAGTCATGGCAGAAATAGTGTGGCTCACAAAGCATGAAATATTTATTATATATCTCTTTACAGAAAAGGGTTACTGACTCCTGCTTCAGACTATTTTGGATAACATGATATACTCCTTCAACTGTCGTGGCCTTACTGGGCCAGAATTGGAATGAAAGTAACATACATACTGCGTATCTATGGTAAAGCAAGTATGTACCCGGTCTATGTGACAATGACAGCATACAAGACCTTCCCATTCTTTGCAAATTTAAGTTGCAATTACAGAAAATCTCATCTTTATGTTATGAAGGTTTTCTTCACATTACTGTAGTATTTCCATTACTGTAGCTGAAAAAGATATATCCTTTTGAGGCAGGAATAGTGCATTCATCCTGGTACATCCTCCTTCTGCTATCTGTGGCAGACATTTCTCATCAAGTGCAGCTTTCTTTTCTAGGCTCAATTAGAGATGTCTAATTTCAGTCTTATGTGGACTCAGAATTCCTCCTACTGTGGAAGGCACTGCCTGTTAGTCTGACTGGTGTGCAAGATAAAGCCTATTTGGTAACGTCTGTGGGATATTACCAAAACCCATTGTATGTCATTCATATGGCCTCCTCTTGCAGTTATTTCTTGTTTTCTCAGCAAGATTTCAAAGCCTATTTTAAGTGTGTACTCCTTAAATACAGATAAAGCATCCATCATTACCGTTATTTCTGGTCATCTCACCATTCTGGTCTCCTCACCGTACTGTGCCCTACCTAGTACTAAGCACAATGGCTGCCCCACAGCAGTTGTCCAGCAATGATTTTTCCCAATATTGACTGACCACATGTAAGAGAGCCTTATGAGATCTGTTTGGTGGTGGCTTCATGTTGGGATGATGACCAAGACAAGTTTCAGATTGGTCATTTTCTAAGCCAAAATGGGAGTTTGACAGAGGCCTGGTAACTAAGGACAGGAAAGTTAAGATTTACGTCACGGGTTAGAAGATGATTTCATTCACTACACATGACTTCTGTATGCCCCAGACTGAGCTGGTAGAGATACCAACATGGGTATCACCCAAGTCCTGCTCTCCAGGAACTGTCACTATAGTAGGGAAGACAGTTTCATAAAAATGAATGCTCATAAAAGACAGAAGAAAATAAGAACAAATTCAAAGACAAGTAATGAGGCACAGGAAGGGCCTTGGGAGGGGCACTGAGGTCTCACCTGGTTCTGTTTGTTCCATTTAGTTTCAGAAGAATCGGCGAGACCCGGATGCCACCAAACATAAGCTCATGGAAATTGCCAACTATGTTGATAAGGTGAGACCAGGTGTGTACTTTGTGGGAAAGGTGCCAGGACCTCAGAGGGGTTGGAGGACAGGAGATCACATGTACCTGAGCTGCCTTCTGTTGCATTGGCCACTCAGTTTCTGAAAGGAATGGAAGTGAGCAATGCCGTAGAGGCTCAGTGTGGTCAGAACCACCTCTAAACTATGTGGTCATAGGTAAGTAACTCATCTTCCTTAGGTTTTAATTTTTATTTTTGTTCTCATCTTGCTTTTTTTAAATTTACAAAGTAGAAGTATTGGCCTAAATTGATAACTTTCAAGTTTTTTATTTTTCTGAGGAAATTTTTTAAAAAGATGAAATCCTATTGTAGTGTCTATACAAACATCAGATAGAGAAACAGACTGCTCCAAGCTGATAGAGCACCGTTGTTCTCTGATAGCTTCTCCTCACTTCAGTGCCTTCTAAGGAACCTAGGGCAGGGAAGAGCCCAGGATAAGAATGCATTAAGATTTTCTAAGGTTCCTTCCACGTATAAAGCTCATTGATTCTCTGACTTAGAGGGAATTGAGGTGGGTCAAGATGGGAAAGGTACACAACTTTAATGGGGAGTGGGCTGTTTGGGGCCAATCTGCAAAGCCTCCATCTGTAAAACTGCCCTAGAATTATTTCTTGTCTTTTAGAAAGACGGTGTAACTTTCCCAATTCAGTACCTTTTCGCATCATACACTTGGGAAAGGTCCAAATTTTAAAATGTTGCTAGAACAGGCTGGTCTGGGACATGGAAATTTTTGTATATATGAAAGAAGATATTTGTTATAATATAAAATGCAAAAATAAAAGGTGACCTAGAATGGTAGTAGCTGCTTGACAGGATACTAGAGTATAGTTTTTTTAAAAGTAGCTTTTGATGCGTTTGGGTGTGTTTGGTCCAATCTCATACCTTGTAGAATTTCAGGACATTCATAAAGCTTTAAAAGGTTGACTATGGGCCTTCTAGGGAGTTGTGGATCCCAGGTCTAAATGGGAAGTCTTAAGTTTTGAAACACTAGAGGATAGAGAAGAGGACTTAATATTTCTTTAGGGACTAACAAGCAAATTTGGCAGTACTCTGAGGTCATTAGATGGGAGATTCTCTGAGCCATATTTTTGTTCTGTCCTCACTTCCTCTAGAAATACAGGCCACTGGCAAGTGACAGGAGGAAGTCAAACACTGACATTTCCTGGATGAAAGACCTTTCCGGGACACAGTGGAGTCCTTTCTCTAGCTCCCAGCTCACTTCACAGTAACTTTCAAGTGATCCTGCAACCCAAACACTCAACATCAGGGAAAACAGGGAAAGCTTGCTTCCCTGGGGTATAGAGAGGCAGGTCGCACTGTCCCCATGTGATGTCCGTTGTTCTACAGACCAGGCAGGTTGGGTCCCTCCTGGGTCAACTTCAGCTGGTTTGGTTGATAGAACCAGGGTCACTGATGAAAAATGGAAGGCATGTGTCAATAACTCAAAAAAGAAAGAAAAGAAAAAGGTGGAGGGAGAGAGAGGCAGCTGCAAATCCAGACCTTAGTTGGAGCCCACGCCTGGCCTGCTGGTCCACTGTGAATCCCTTGCCTCTCTCCTGACAGCTGAGGTTAGTCACTCCTGACGAGGTGAACAAAGGCACACCCACCGCTCTGAAGCTTGCTGACCCAGCTACTTGAACTGAGGGACTGTTGAACTAAGACTGGAACGAACTATGCTCATTTGCTGAATCATGAACCCAATCCAAAATATTTTCTGTTAACTGTGAAAAAGCCAAGTTTACTTCCTTAAAAATCTCCCCAGTGAAGCAAATTCAAATTGAAGCCTGAGCCTTTTATTTTCTTTCATGATTGGTACGACACAAAACAAAGCAAAATCAAGTTTTCTTGAGAAATATAATGGATGTTCTGTAGACTCTTCAGTCCATCTTAGGCCACAATTGCGGGGGAAGGCAAGTGGGTGGTCTGGATTTGTACATAACTGCTGTACTTTGGCAGAATAGGATTGTGAGTGGTCTCTGAGGCTATGATCTATGTCTTCACCCTGGCTCCACCATTTCCTGCCTAGACTTTGCTCAGTGCTTCGTACATAGAAAGTGCTTGACAAACATTGATGTCCTGCTTATCATTTTTAGCTGGGGCAGCACCTGTCATTTTCAGAATAAGATAGTCTGTCCTGCTCGTGTGACCACTGTACATATAGGTCACTGGCTCAGTAACATCTAGAGAAGACCCATCAAAGAACCACTTAAAACCACTTTCCAGTAGCTTAGCTTTAAAGCTAAGCAGCTCCTGCTTATATTCCCAGGAGGTGAAAGACTCCATGGCATAACATTAGGTGTAGCCTAGACTGAGAGTCAGCTCTTGGTGATAGAATTTCAGGATCTCTTGATTGGATAGAACCATGAGGATTATTTAAAGCCCTTGGATTTTCATGGAATCCTTAACACAGCCTCAACACTCCAGGGTTGGGGAAGGAGACTCTGTGAGGAAGCATATCTATCTTCTGTGTCATTCATTTTTGATGGTAGAAATTTATTCCCATCTACTTATGTATCATTTATAGTCATTTAATTCCAAAGCAGTTCTAGACACCTTAGAGTTTAAAAAAATCCATGACATAATTTAGTATATGTATACAATGAAATATTATATATTCAGCAACAAAAGGAATGACAAACTGATCAGACTGATACAGGCTACCACATGGAAGATCCTCAAAAACAGCATACTGGGGAGCTGGGGATGTAGCTCAGTGGTGCCTGTGCCTTCCTCAAAAGCACAAGGTCCTGAGTTCGATCTCCAGTACAAAACAAACAAACAGACAAAAGAGTACTAGGTGAGAGAAGCCAGGTGCAAAACCTATGTTGTATGATTCCATTTGTTAAAAAAAAAAGGCAAATCTGTAAAGACAGAAAGTAGAGTAATTCTTACCTGGAATTGGGATAAGAATGGAATGACTATACATGAATGTGAAGAATCTTACTGGCATCGTGAAAATAATCTAAAACTGGAGTGCTACAATGTCTATACATTGGCAAGCCTACTAAAAACATTGGTAAACCACTCAGAATAGGTGGTTTTTAATGTTATGTAAATTATACCTCCATGAAGTTGTTTTGTTTTGTTTTTTAAACAAGAGAGCTTTTTAAGATACATATAGGAAGATAAGGGCTATGTGAGAAATTGATAGAGAAAATCATCCAGCTAGCTAGGCCAAGGAAGGTTGTTATAGAAGATAACAGATCTCAGATCTGAACTTGCTCATGAACAGCACTTGAGGGGCCGGGGACTGAGACAGAGTCTCACTATGTAGTGCAGGCTGGCCTTGAACTCACAGTGATCCTCCTGCCTCAGCTTCTCGAGTGCTGGGATTATAGGTGTGCACCACCATGCTCAGCCATGGCTGGCTTTTTTTTTAAATGCTTTTTTCCCCCTATTTTCTTATGAAATTTATCTTCTTGTCTTGTTTTACCTCTGAACCCAATCCCTACTTGAGGACTGCGAGAAACAACTTTCAGCCTTTCTGCACATGATAGCCCTGTATGTATCTGAACCGATTTTATGACCTGTCTCAGTCCTCCATTCTCTAAGCAAAGATACCGCAGTTCTACCCCCAGAATATTGTGAATCTTTTCCAGAGCGTCACTTTCACCTTCTGAAAAAATGTCAAGAACACCTGTTCCCTCTCCCCTTGGAGCCAGGGCAAAGGAGAGATCTGGTGGCTGTGTTCTGAGTTCTAAGGTTAGGAAGGGATGATAACTCCCATATGGTGTTGATAGAAACCACAGCGTTTTGGTCTTTTCAGTTTTACCGATTCTTGAATATTCGGATTGCTCTCGTGGGCTTGGAAGTATGGACTCATGAGGATAAGTGTCAAGTTTCAGAGAATCCGTACTCCACGCTTATCTCATTTCTTAGTTGGAGGCGAAGGCTGCTCACCAGGAAGAAGCACGACAACGCTCAGTTAATCACGTAAGTAGCCTTTTTCCTGTGTGTGCTGCCTCCACCTTAGCTGAAGGCCTCTGTCTACTGTGTGTGTGCTCAGCATTTGCCTTTCTTGGCCTGGTGAGGTTCGCCGGTTGTACAAGGCCCTCCTGGCTCCTTAGCCCAGGGAACCAAGCCTTTCTCCGCCGTGTGCTCTGGACCCAGCGCACTTCAGAAAATACCATTAAAAATCTCATCAGAATCAGCTGAGCAGCTGAAACGCTTGTGTGTGTGTGTTCAGGCAGTGACAGCTGGGGGGCTGTGGCCGCTTGGTGACAGACTTCATTCTGGTATATGAACTCATCTCCTACCACAGGCACAGGGCAGGGGCTTCCTCAAATCACCCTCCATTCGCTTCCCAGGAGCTCTGCGCTGGGTGCCTGAGGGAGGGAGAGTGGTGGACAGCACAGGAACCATGTGCATGGTGGGAGGCCAGCCCTGGGAGGGACTAGGTTAGGTTTTCCTCAGTCCCAGAGAGAAAATTCTAACTCATAGGGTTGCGATAGTACGAGACAGGGTACCACTAAGGATGATTATTGGCATTTATTAATGTTGGCTTCCAAGGTATTTGAAGGCAGTTACAACAAAAAGCACAGCACAGAGATAATAAACCCTTTCTCACCTGTTCCCTAAATATATCTCAGAGTCGATAATCATTCAAACCCGGGTTGACCCTTGGAGGTGTGTCCAGCCCATGACCCACGGGTTTGGTGTTGCCTCTGTTATAAGAAAACAAATGTAAAAGACAGGAAGTCTTGTTATTTACATACATTAACTATGTTATGTACTTTATGTGGTGCCCAAGGCAATTCCTCTTCACTTGGTGCAGCTCAGGCAAATGAAATGTGTGCAACCCACGGGAACTGCAGGACGCTGTGGGAAATAACTGTCCCCAAAACCCAGGCTCTGAGTGGTTGCTTATGATTGTTCATCCACCCAGGAAGAGTCTTTGGGTACCAAAACTTCTTGTTGTGGTGGTGCTGGGGATGGAACTCAGGGACTTATGTGTTCTAGGTAAGAGCTATACAACTGTGCTACACCCCTGTTCCCCTTGGTTATCAAAACTCTTAGCCTGAATGGGGAAGCATCCTGGTTTAGGCAAAATCTTGAATGTGTGTTTCCAGTAGGACTTCCTCAGAACCACGGCTAAGTTTAATAAGTAATAAGTAGGGCTTTGTAGAAAGTGGTATATATTTTGCATGTTTCTTTGCAGATCGTTTCTCTGAACATAAGTCTGCCTTGAATTCAGCACTTATTTATTACCCATGTTGTGTCAGATTCTATGCTAGTTTCTAGTGATCCTAAAATAAATAAGATAGTCAGACATATCATGGTCTAGATAAGAAAAGCGTGGAGATATATACCACATAACGAATTTCCACAGAAATCCTTTAAGCAGATGACATGTTTGTGGCGTGCACAGAAATACTGGCCTTTCATTTCATCCTTTTTCCTCTATCCTGGATGTATACAGCTGAGGGAGGGACATGTTAAAACTGGGGGACGTAGCTGGCCATTGGCAGATTAGGATCACAACTGCAAAACAAAGGCAGGAACAGCTCATCCTTGCACCCAGCTGCACTTCGTGAGGCTCCCAAGGGGACACAGCTGCTTCCTTGGCCCTGAGGTGACAGGAGAATGAAGCATCAGCCCCACAGCTGCTGCCTAATCTCCCTACCCTGTCCCGAAAGGCCCACACTGAAGAGCCAGGGGCAAGGCTTGGGACCAGGCAGCTGGCGGAAGCAGCATGATTCACTTTGGCATCAGAACCTGTGCCCCCCTTCCCTACCCCTCCCTCTGAGCTTTTTCCTGTGCAGCAGGAATGGCATGGAGCTTGCAAGCTCTGCCGTTTCCTTCCAGGGAATTGGCCACAGGCATATTGTAGGGGAGAGAGAACGTGACCTTTTTCGTGACCTTTTCCACGCTCTCTTTTTCTCTGGAGCAGTGAGGGAGCAGGTGAGAGGAAGTGAGAGGTGTGGTGACCTGAAAGTCAGCCAGTGGCCAAAATACCAGGGCCCCTCCCCCAGGAATGAACTGGAAATGTCAGGGAGGCCAGAGAGCACGTGGTAGCCGCTGGCTTCTGGACCCGGGGAACAGCCTCCCCCAGCCCCGCCCAGTTACCCCTCTTCTCTCCTGCAGGGGCGTGCCCTTCCACGGCACCACCATCGGCCTGGCCTTCCTCAGGACCATGTGCTCTGTGCACCATTCTGGAGGGGTGAGCTCGGTGAGTCCCCGCCACAGGCTCGGCCTGCAGGAGCTACGAAACTGCCTCTCAAGACAGGAGGTCACCTTTGAAAAGAAGGTTCTGATATTTATTATTGCCAAAGAAAAATCCTTGACATCAAGAAGGCCACTTATTTAAAATGAAGTCATTAAGCTCTAAGAAATGGAGGTACCTAGGGGTGAATTTTCATTTACTGTAGTTTATTTTTGATTTTCAAGCTCAGGAGAGCTGTGAAGTGATTTCATGAGTATTGTCTCTAGATCTCTCATATGTTCCAAACCAGGGTCCGGGGAATAGTAAGAGAAGAGAAACTGAAGTGTTTTTATTCCAGGTCCTGCATGGTCAGGGATGTCATTATGAAAGAAGAGCATATCTCAAAGTCATAGGCAATTACCCTGCTTTGGAAATTCTCTCTGACTTAGTGAGAGTATTGTGACTGTTTCTAAGCTGTAAGTGAATATCAGGAAGCCTCCTGGTCATCTGTTTGTCCATCTCTCCATCCATCCTGTATTTATTTATTGACCAAAAAACATAAATGTTAAAACCCTAGGCTCTAGAGTCAGAACTGATAAATTTCAAAGAATATTTATATGACTTTGGATGAGTTAATAGGTGTCTTCAGTTGTAAAATAAGGGCAGTTTCACAGTTTATAATCTTTGGGTAAGAATGGGAATTAAAGGAAATCATGCCGGAAACACACGTATGTGTTTAGTAAATCTCTTTTGGCTGCTTCTGTGGCTTTTGAGACAAGGTCTTGCTATGTTGCCCAGGATGGTCTTGAACTCCTGGGCTCAAGTGATCCGCCCCTCAGGCTGCCCGGTAACTGGGGCTATAGGCACTCACCACTGTGCCTGCTCTGCTTGCTTGTTTATTCCCTATTTCTTTAGCTTCTGCTTTTGACAAGAATCACACATGACGACAGGTGCCGTGTCTGGGATGCATCTGTCATGTGGTGCTCTCAGAAAGTAGTGAGCAAACGTACCCTATGCTTGACCTGTGGCAGTGTCTCCTGTCCATCGCCCTGTGTCTTGAAGAGATACATGTGTTGAGAGGAAGAAGGGGAAAAGCACTTACTGGTCCAGCAATTCATCAGTGGGACAAACATGGTCTGCATCCGTTAAGAACTCAGGATACACTGACTTTTAACAGCCTGACTTCCTAATAATGACAGTGGCTTTGACTTGCTGTAGAAAGCAGCTATGGAGGGCCTGCATTCCCATTGGTAGAGGATACTGTGGAGAGCTGCAGGGCTTGAATTGGAAAAAGACAGATTGTGGGTGAAGGGATGGACAGTGCCGTCCCCTTGACTTTGACCCGAACTCTCTCCCTGAGCAGGACCACTCTGATAATACCATCGGTGTGGCTGCGACTGTGGCCCACGAAATGGGCCACAACTTTGGCATGACCCACGATTCCGAAGGCTGCTGCTTAGCCAGTCCTGCTGATGGTGGGTGCATCATGGCAGCTGCCACTGGGTGAGTCAGTGGGAAGGGTGAGGGTGGGAAGGAGGGAGGCCGGCATGGCCAGTGTGACCCAAATATTCCTTCCAGCGGACTTGAGGAACTTCTTTTGATATGCTGGTAGGGTGTTCAAGAAAATGTGGGTTTTATCACAAAGAAATTGGAAGAGTACCAGCCGGGCGTGGTGGCACATGCCTATAATCCCAGCACTCGGGAGGCTGAGGCAGGAGGATTGCTACAAGTTCAAGACCAGTCCGGGCTACATAGCAAGACCCTGTCTCCAAAAAAGAAATTGGGAAAGCACCAAGAAGGGAAGTGTATGGAAAGAGCAGGTTTCTAGCAGGAAATGCAGTGCTGATGAAACCCCGGATATACTATTCAGCATATATACTGTATATGCTGTTTTAATTTCTGCCTAGGGTCTTTAGCCATAAAATTGAGCTGATCGCATGTGTCATTTTTCCTTCATTAATTTTTGACAAGGACCCATTTTGATCACAACCACAACCCTTGGTGCTTCCATCCCAAAGGAGTTTGTTTAGTGCTGTTACATCCAAGCTTGCTTAAAAAGCTCTGCACACCACACAGTTACTCCCCACGAGGAACAAAGACAAGCCAGCTGCTTCTCCTGATGTCATGAGGGATTTTCTAAACCAAAGCCTTTGAAAAACATTCTGGAGTTTCTCAGGGGACTTATCTCTTAGGGTCTGCCTCAGCGTAGATCACTGGGTTCCTCCAGGACCCGAGTTTCTCCTTGGAAGGCATCATGCTAGGACTTTCTGTCCCTTCACCCAACTCAGTAGGGTCTGTTCGTGCATGCAGAGTACGGTGTCTCAGTGTCTCCCAGAGGAGGTCCTGTTCTCTGGACCTCCCACATCCACGGTTCAGTCATCACTTCTTGGCGGTGACACAGAAAGAATGATGTTGATGTGCAGAATACAGTTCCACCGGTCACGCTGAAGTCCCTGTGAGGTCACAGTTAAGTCCACTCCTTTCTCTGCCAATCCCAGTAGTATCTGTGGACAAATGGTTGAGAGTTATAGTAATTCCTACTCTAACAAATTTTCCTAGTTTAACAGGAAACTCTCCCGTGCTTAGCCTTTAATTGGTTTGGAGTACTGGGAGCAGGGTAACTCCCTCTTTGTAGACCTAACTCATACGACAGTGGTTTCCCCTTCACTGTGGGGACTGTCCGAAGACATTCCAGACACCGGAAACTACAGAGTATTGAAAACCACATATACTATGTTTTTTTCTCCTCATACATATCCATGAGAAAGTTTAATTTGTAAAGCGGGTGTGATTAGACATTAAAAATAATAACTACTAAAGTAAAACAATTATAACAATGTACTATAATAAAAGTTATTGAAAACTTACGAATTATCTCTGGAATTTTCCATTTAACATGGGTAACTAAAACCATGGAAAGCAAAACTGCAGAGAAAAGAGAACTACTGTAGTTTTGGTTCTTTTTCCCAGTAATGAGGGACCGAGAAATCATACTCTCGTGATAAACAACACGTGTTTGTGAGTTGGCTAGTTCAGTTTGGAGTGTGCTCTGCATTCCACAACAAAGAACAAATCATTGGTCCTTGGAGAAATGAAAACCATGGTCTTGGTTTTTGTTGGTCTGGTCCTCTGTAACAAAAGAATATCCATCTGATACTGGCTTTAGGGGAAGTTTGGGCTGGCGCTGAAGCTTGACACCTATCGTAATACATTCATAATCTTTTATTTGCTGCAACTCCTTCAAAGGACAGAAGTTGCTGTTCTTTGCAAATACCTTTACCGTGCAGAGTAAGAAAAATAAAGTACTATGAGATGGTTAATATTTCATGATGAAGGGTGAAAGAATTCCAAGTTAACGCACTGATGAGTGTTCCCCGGGGATGGAACATGCATCTGTGGCGCTGTGAGGATCCAGGTGGGATCAGCTTCACAGAGAGCATGACTAGCGGCTGTTCTGGCTGCTGGATATGCAGACTCTCAGCTATTTCCTCCATTGTCCCCTACCAGCCACCCCTTTCCCAAAGTGTTCAATGGATGCAACAAGAAGGAGCTCGATAGGTACCTGCAGTCAGGAGGTGGAATGTGTCTCTCCAACATGCCGGACACCAGGACGCTTTATGGAGGCCGGTGGTGTGGGAACGGGTTCCTGGAAGATGGAGAAGAGTGTGACTGTGGGGAGGAAGATGTAAGTGTCCCAGTGGTGCTAGCAGGATGGAGGAACTTGCATCGATTTCAAGCACAAGGTCAAAAGAGAATAGGACAAATAAAATTTCCTAGTCACAGGCATTTCCTACACATGACTATCAGAAACCCCACCACGTACAAGATGTGGTCAGTAACCCTTCCAGATGGACTGCTTCTGTAGCCTTTCATAGCTTGTGTTTGGCACTCTTGGCGTTCAAGATCAGGGTGGAGTTCCGGTGAGCATCTGGTCTAGCCAGAAACCACAATCCTGTGGCTCTCTCCCTTCTAGTAGAGTTCAGATGGCCTCCTTGGCCCTGCAGCTGCACTGAACTTGTTTTGGAAGCCACACAGCCAGTTTTATGAGCTTGAGCATGAGCCTTATGAGGATGCTTAAAATAACAAGCTCATGCTGTTTATCCTGGAGAAGATGTGATTGAAAGGGAATAGAGGAAAAAGCTGAAGGGCTGCTAGGAGGAAGGAGCAGAAGTCTTTGTGTATGAGCGCTTTCCTTCCTTTTGATCTTCAAAACCACATAGTGTGACTGTCATTTTTAACAGAAGCATGTTGTTCTGCAAAAAAGCAGAACTGGATTGTTTCATCTTTATTTTTTGAAGGATGAAAATTTGCTAACACATGCACAAAAATTGAGGAAGAATATACGAGTAACACAGAAAATGATGGTGGTGAGAGGGAGGATCCGTGCATGTGGAGAAAACGATTTGGTTTTCTGATTTCTAGTGTATGATATTCTTCTTTTGGCACAAGCATGTAACTTTCAGAATAAAACAAGAGCTATTAAAGATGCTACCACTCTCACCATCGTGATCCTAAAGGGATCAGCCCAGGGCCTTTGGAAAGGAAGGAGTTGTATTAGGAGCAGTGTGAATACTATATTTTGCAAAATAAGTATAAGCATGGGTATATTGGAAAATATGCACATTTGAAAGGCAGATGCCTTTAAATTGTGGTGTCACTAGGGATTGTGCCTATGTGTATTTTCTGTGATAAATTCACATGACCTTGGTAAAGCTGTCAAGACAGGTCTCGGCAAGGAGTTCTGGAAGCAGGGCCCCCAGGGTTTGGAGGGCAGGCTGGGGCTGGGGGGGGTGGTGAAGGCTGTCCCCCGATCTGCTCTACTCCCCCAGAGACTCATGCCCACCCACTGCCCTCAGGAATGCAACAACCCCTGCTGCAATGCCTCCAACTGCACCCTGAAGGAAGGGGCAGAGTGTGCCCACGGTGCCTGCTGCCACCAGTGCAAGGTGAGTGTCCCCTCCCCTGCCTGCAGCTATGACCCAGCAGCTCTGCCATGGGTGACTTCCGGTTCCAACCTCCGTCCGGGGGCAGTGATGGCATTGCAGGTCCAGACACGGGGCTGGGGTGTGGCTCAGTGGTGGAGTGCTGGCCTAGTGCGCTCAAGGCCCCGGTTTCCATCCCTAGCACTGGGGTGGGAGTGGGGGCTGGAGAAAAGAAAAATGAAAGTTTCAGACACTTGGAGTGGGAACAGTCTCTTGAACTTGTTTTCCCCTCTGGGCCTCACTGAGTTAAGATCATCTCAGTGGATGGTGCCTCCTGGGGGGTGGCAAAACATTTTTAAAAACAAGCACACAGAGAGTAGTTTTGATATTACCTGATCTCATAATAATAAGTATCACAAGTTTGATAGACCTGAGTGGACGTCTTAGAAGAAGCCAGGCACTATGCTTAGAAGTATGTATAGGTTGTCTCATTTAAGCCTCACAAAAGCCCATGATGTGATTATCCTCACTTGAAGATGAGAAAGCTGGGCTCATAGAGTATGGGTAACTTACCTAGAATGAAACAGGCAGGAAGAGCCTGGATGCAGCTCTTCCTGTCTCTGGATGGAAGTAGTATCCCTACTACCGATATGGGAGAGAAATTCTTGCTATTAGTGTTAATATAGTACCACAGTCTCTAAGCCACAGTTCTGGAATTCAAGAAGTTCTAAAATCTGAAAAAAAAATGTTTGTATCACATTTAGTGACAAAACATGAACTGAATTGATATGAGGCTAATTGTGGTCTTTTAAAAAAATCACACCTAAAGTGAATATGTATGTGTGTGTGTATATATATATACATATATATATATATATATGTATATATATATTTCATAATGGTTCACTCAGGCCTTGCTGTAAGGTTGTTATACACATGTAATGTGAACATGTAATTATGCACACACATACATGTATAATTGTATGTATACATGTGTTACATACATATCTGTGTACACACAAGGTTATATACCATTTATATGCATACGGTATAGTAATTAAAAATATGAATCATATTAATACCTAGAATCTGAGAAACATCTGCCCTCAGAGTTTGGGGCTGGAGTTAGGGACCTATGTTTCTCCCCACCATTTATCCTGTGCTCATTATGCGCCAGATACTGTTCAAGTACTTTGTTACAAGTAAGTCATTCGTCTTAACAACCACTTGAGAGAGTTGGGATCTCAAATCATGGGTGAATGAACATCAAGTGCTCAGATAGCTGCCCGAGGCCCCAGTGCTGGTTGAGGAGCTGGGATGTGACTCAGACCGACTGGCTACAGAGTAGCTCCTCTGTTCTGCACCTTGCTCCTGGATGGTGGAGGTGTGGCTGCTACAGCGTTCTCTCCTCATGCTCTTCTTGTTCACACTTGCAGCCAGGGCCCTTTCAGCAAGCAGCCAGCCCTGAGGGTAGCCAGGAAGGGCCTGCCTGCCTTCTTTCCTGCAAGGCCCTTGTGAGTAGTGTGTAGCCTCTCGGGAGCGAAGGAAGGCTTCATTCTCAGTCCTTGGTTTCTTTACCTGGCTCAGGGGGAACTTGAAGGCCTTCTGGCTTGACCCAGTGTCCCCTGGGGAGACTGTGGTGGGTCAAGTCCTTCAAGTTTTGGCAAGGCCCGAGAACAAGCATGGAGTGTAGCCATTGCATCCAGTCCCAGGATTTCATCTGGAGCCTCACAAAGGATTCCTGGTGTCTGAGACCTTGACTTCAACTCCTGGCTGTGTGATTTTGGCAGTTTCCTAACCATCTGAGCCTAGGTCATTTTTCTGTGAACCGGAAAGAGTTTAGTAACCCTGACCACCACAGGTTTCAATGAGATTCGAGGGGAATCTTTTACCATTTGCCCAACGTGTGTTATTGATCAGGTTATTTGATCTACAAAGTTGACAAATAGCAGTGTCCCCTCTACGGCTACTGTGAGGGGCACAGGAGGTTGTGTGATAACGACCTACTCAGGCCGGTGCTTGGCTCAGTGATGGGGATGTATCGCTGCTGATAAGCTTTGTGAATTCAATGATGTTATGTGAATGCTAGCTGAACGCATGCATTTATCAGTGGCCCTGTCTCTTTCACCACTTACTGTGTAATTTTGGAAACACTGTCCTCTGTAAGCCTCAGGTTTCATTGCCTCAGTCACTGTTTAGATTAAAAGGCCTATGATGGCTTGAACTACTGAGGTTGCGTAAAAAGTGCTGTGAAATAAAGGTGGTGAAAGTTCCGTTCCACACAAGTGACGCATATGAGATCTTGGTTGACAGGGTCGAGGACAGGGAAGTAATCAGCTGTTTCTCCCTCTCGTTCCTCTACTCAGCTGGTGGCTCCGGGCACCCAGTGCCGTGACCAGGCCCAGCAGTGTGACCTTCCAGAGTTCTGCACGGGCAGGTCTCCCTTCTGCCCCACCAATTTCTACATGATGGACGGGACTCTCTGTGAGGATGGCCAGGCCTACTGCTACAATGGCATGTGCCTCACCTACCGGGAACAGTGCCAGCAGCTGTGGGGCCCTGGTAAGGGCTTGCTAGGGAGAGCAGCCCTCCTCCACCACCCCACCACTAAGCCAGCCCAGCCTGCCGGCCACTCAGGGTCTCAACATCGTGGCTCAGAAATGCTTCCAGATGCCACCTCTGTAGCTTAGTGGGAGAGCCATTGCCGAACATACACAAGGCCCTGGGTTGAATCCCCAGGACCACCAAAAAAAATAGAATCAAAGTACGACTCTTCCTAGCATGTTCACTTCCTAGGTTCACTTCCCAGTGCCACAAAACCCCACTTCTTTCTTCCCATTGAGAGATTCAGAAAGAGCCAGTGGGCAACAATCTTCCTGATCCTTTGATGCTTTTAGTTCTCAGAGTCTGCTATTTAATAACAATAATCTAGATATAAAGGAGAAAATGACGGAAACAGAAAAGCAAATGCAAATGGTCCTTTAAGCTATGAAAAGATTTTAACCTCAGTCATATTAAGACAGCAAATTATGACTAATACGAGGTAGAATTTTTTATGTATCGGATTATAAAGAGTAAAGGTTAATAACAACAACCATAATATGATATTATGGAGGGTGTGAGGAATCAGATAGGTCCAACCCCCTGGAAAGTGCTTTGGAGATAGAAAAATTTTAAATGCATTGATTGGGACCATCAGTTCCACTACTTAGTAACAGCCAACACTTGTACTCATATATGTATGTGAAGATATGTTTTCGGAGATGTTAATTGCACTATTGTTAGTTAAAGCAATAACAACCTCTGTACCTTTTAGTAGGGACCAGTTAAATTAATTCCAGTCAGTCTGCACAATGCAGTGCTTTGTGGCTAAATAAAAGGAGGTGACTCTATATGCTGAATAAAAAGCATCTCCCACAACAACTAGGTAAAAATATGAGGTACAGAGCAGTGAATAGAATGTGCTTCCTTCTTTATTAGACTTGCTCTAGAAGACACACCCAGATTGTATCCAGGAGATGCATAATACAAAGATATAGTTATTTCTAGAAAATGCACTGTTAATTATTGCTTTTTCAGAATGTAGGGCAAGTGGAACAGGATGGCTCCGAGGAAAAGTTCCAAAGATATACTTTATATCTTGACAGCTTTATGCTCGCATTACCTATTTTTAAAATCCTGAAATGCGATGGCACTGTGTAATTAGACAGTAGGCTTAGCGTGCAACCCCCCAGAGATATAAATGCTTGATAAGCTATGACAACAAACAGAAAACATTTTCTCTGAATTGGTCTTGGTGAGAACATGGGGGTGGGATACCTGACAGGAATACAGGAGAAACGTTCTTGACTCCGTCATCTTGCCAAAGCTTGCCTTTGCCCTTGGGGACTGCTGACAGGCTTGTGTACTGAACCATGTTGTTTCTTGTGCACCCAGGAGCCCAGCCTGCCCCGGATCTCTGCTTTGAGAGGGTGAATGTGGCCGGAGACGAATACGGAAACTGTGGGAAAGACATGCATGGTCAGAACAAGAAGTGCAGCATGAGGTAATGACCACAGAGCAGACCCCGTGGGATGACAAGAGACAAACTCCTGCTCTGTCCTGCTTACTGCCACCCAGCTCGGCAGCTGATGGCCCCGGAGCTGCCTTTACAGAAATCAGTTGAAGTCCGTGTCTGTTCTTAGCCTGTTGTTTGACAATGCAGCATTCAGGCCTAAGAAAGTCAGGGAGAAGGGGTGGCAAGGCTTCCTAGAAAGCTGATCAGTCTTCCTTTGGGGAAGACCTTATAGTCGGACAGGGATCTCTTGGATCATTTGCAGAGTGCTAATTATGCTTTTATCTGAATAGATCATTCATTCATCTCACCTATCCTATCCTATCCATACATCCATCCATGTGTCCATCCACCCACTCATTGACCATTGAGTGTTTACAGCAAGACCCTGTGCTGAGTTCGTAAAGGTTTTAATAAATCATACAGTGTGATAATGGGAATGTAGAGAGAGCCACCCAAACTATCTTAGTGGCCTGGGGTTAGGGAGGGAAGTTATGAGCCATGGAGCAGCTAAGTAGATGAACAGAATGTATCAGCATGCTGGTATGTAGAAGAGTGGTCTAGGCAGAGAGGTGGTTGGAGAAAAACTAGTTGTTTAAAGAGCTAATAGCACCGTGATACAGTTAAGGTATAATTTTGGAGTGCAAAGGAGAGGGTCTGTGAGAAATGAGCTGGGATAGGTAAGCAGGGGCTAAATTATGAAAAAGCTTCAATGACTGCTTAGGGGAGTCTGGACTTCCGCTTGAAAACACGGAAGGAGACAGACTCATTCCCACAGGGGAAGACTGACGACAGGGAAGTCAGTTTCTTAAGGCTCAAGTAAGAGAGCATGATGGTATGAACTGCAGAGGCTATGGAGGAAAGGCTAATAATTAAGGGCTTGAAAACTACTGAAACCCAGAAACAAGGGAGAATGAAGAGTCAGATTACCCTAGGCATCTGGCTGGAGTGCCTGGGTGGATGGCGGTAGATGGAGCATAAGGGGATAGATTGCTTAGGCCACGAAAGTATCTCTGAAGTTAGGATTTTCCAGGACCAGTTCCCTATCTAGTTCTGCTCAGGGACATGAAGTCTGTTCCATTCCCTTGATCTAAGCCCACAGATCTGGGGTCTCTCCTGGTGGATCTCTACAGCATACTCATTGCTGTGGAGTTCTTCTTTAGCTCACCTGAGCCTCCCGTCTTGGCCAAGAAACGCTAAAGCTGTGTGGTACTCTAGATCTCCCCAACTTCTGATTCCATCTCCCCTGCCTCTCTCTCGGGCCCAGGGATGCCAAGTGTGGGAAGATCCAGTGTCAGAGCTCTCGGGAGGTGCCCCTGGAGTCCAATGCAGTAGCTATTGAAACCACCATTGTCATGAATGGGAAGAAGATTCAGTGCCGGGGTACCCATGTCTACCGAAGTCCTGAAGAGGATGACATGCTGGACCCAGGGCTGGTGATGACTGGGACCAAGTGTGGCTTCAACCACGTGAGTCCCTCCCCCCAGCCTCACTCAGGTGCTGAGCTGCAGAAAGGGGAAACTGAGAAGTGTGAACTCTAGAGGGCAATGCCTGGGCTCACATCCCAGCCTCTCCAACTTCTGAGCCTCTGTAGCTTCCTTTATAAAAGTTTGTAGGTGCTAGCAATAGACTGTCATCTGTAGACTACGGCTTAATTCAGATCATGTCTGTAAAGCATCTAGATGGGCTAGCTATTACCATTTTCATCCATTTCATTAGTTACCTTAGGAGGTAAAAGTGGTCTAAGTTAGAGAAGCTTGGAGGAAGTAATGTCAAGTATCTCATAGTCAGTTATGACAGTGAAGGTATAAAAAATGTGAAGCACTTGATACAGTTGCTAGCACAGAGTAGGCTGCTTCAAAATCATTATTTTTAAACATAATGGTAAGTAGTGGTTATTAATAGATGAATAGTTAACATAATCAATATAGTATAACATTTTATAGGTATTAAATATGATATTTTAGCCATATAATTGTTACTCTCTCTCTAATCACAAAGGTAATAGCAGCATTTTTAGGCTCTTAGATTTCCCACTGTACTAAATAACCAGAAGTGGGCTGCCTTTCTGGGTCCCCACATGCTCTAGGTGCACAACCTCATGTCCTATTTCCTGCCCAATGTCCCTTGTGTCATACTGACAGCTGTGCTTCCCCCTCACTGCAGATCTGCTTTGAGGGACAGTGCAGGAACACCTCCTTCTTTGAAACTGAAGGCTGCGAGAAGAAGTGCAGTGGTCACGGGGTATGTGTTCCCAGGGCTGATGTCTGCATGGGGCAGAAGCCGAGGGAGGCAGGAGCCCTCTGGAGTGTTGACACCTCTGCCCTCCCCTCATTCTAGGTCTGCAACAACAACCAAAACTGCCACTGCTTCCAGGGCTGGGCCCCGCCCTTCTGCAACACGCCCGGCCACGGGGGCAGCATAGACAGTGGGCCCATGCCCCCCAATGGTGAGTGCCTGTCTGCTTGCAGCCTCTGCCTATCTTTGGGAGAAGGGTGGACACCACAGAGACAGGTGTCACTTTGCAGAGCGTCCACACTGAGGCTGCTTCCTCCTCTTGACTTTGTAGATGAGGGAACCAAGATAAGGAGAGGCCAAGTTGGACAGGGACCGAGGCCAGCAGCTGATATGGGGACTTCCCTGGTCACTTCTCTCCCTTAGTTGAGGAGGCTGAACCTGCTTGTTAGAGTGAGAGATTAAGGAAAATTGTAGGTCACTGACTGTCCACATCCTGTTTGGGGGTGGGGTGGTGACTAGTCAGATTCCTTGTTTTGGGCACTTGAAAATAATCATGAACAAAGACTACAATGAGGAAACAGGCACAAAGTTTGGGTTTTTTAGTGGGAATCTCACAGACTCTAGCCCTGTGGTTTCCAAACTTTTTCTTTTAATAGGAAAGAGAGAAAGGAAAAAATATGAGAAAAGGAAAAGATGGAAACAAAGTCTCTGTAAATAGGGAAGCAGGGAGGAGTTGAAGGGAGGGGAGGGGAATGGGGAAAAAATAAGAACCAAGATACACCATGTAAAGGTACAAGATCCCAATGATGACTGTAACTGTATTGTATACCTAAAATGTACCGATAAAAGGATTTAAGGAGAAAAAAAAATAACAGTAGCAGAGTACGTTGGGAAAAAAAATCTTTCAAGAAATCCTAATGTATAGAACAGATAAAAGTATGTCTCATTAGAGCAAATATATTTGTACATTTAAATTTATAATTCGTGAGAACATTGAGGCAGTTTTGATGAAACCAAATGTGAAATTGTGGATCGAGGGTGAGAATTCTAGTCTTACATCAGTCTAAGTCTCTCAGTGTTCTGTGTTCATTGATTTGTGTCCAGGAAAATCATGGCTCAGGCTGAAAACTATTGGCAGGTGATAATAGAGCCTGAATTGCCTGCCTCGAAAGAGAATCTTTTCAATTAAACAGAACTGGCTACAGGGCCTTTATATTATAACATCTGCACACAGCACCTTAGAGGTATCCTGGTAGTGTGTAATTTGTGGTTTTCAGGGTTTGTAAGATAAAATAAGTAAAACAAATTAAATGTGCATCAGATGTCTGAAGAAGAGTCAGGAGTGCTTTGTTTTGCTGTAGCCTGAATAGTCTCTAAATCTCTCCCTTGGGTTCCTCTGGAAGGTATTGGTCCTGTGATCGCCGGTGTGTTCAGCGCCCTCTTCCTGCTGGCCGTTCTTATGCTGATCTACTACTGTAGACAGAACAGAAAGCTGGGCCAGCTCAAGCCCTCTGTCCTCCCTTCCAAGCTGATACAGCAGTTCAGGTATGAAAGGGTCCCATGAAGGGCTCAAGTCCCCTTCTGTCTTGTAAAGCTGTGTGTGAGCAGTACCTAGGGAGAGAGTTTGTGGTAGTGGGTCTAATTCAGAAAGACAGATGAGGTACCTTCTGCCTTCTCTCCCCTTCTACGTGCTGTGCTCTGTGACCATGGCAGACATTATCAGATGATCTCACTATAAATAGTCTCCAGTGACAGACATTACTAAATGATCTCACTGTAGGTCTTCTCTACTGCACATGTTCATCACTTTCAAATCCTTGGCAGAATGCTCCAACCAATTCGAGTGGAAATATAAAATTTGCCATTCTGTATCTAGTTTGTCCATCTATCTATCTATCTATTTACTTATTTATGTTTTGTGAGACGGCCTCTCACTATGTAGTTCAGGCTGAACTCACTAGGTAGCACTGGCTGGCTTCAGACTTGAATTCGTGGCAAACCTCTTGCCTCTGTCTCCCAAGTGCTGGGATTACAGGCATGCACCACCATACCCATGATCCCCCACTTTAAAGAACAGATAACTAGCCATTAGAGAAGGGAGGACTAGCCCAAGTCAAAGACAGGGGTGGCTAGATAACCAACCCAATAAGAAAATCAGTTTTTTTCCTAAGTGATTCATTTCTTTGGTGATTGAAGATGTATATTCTCTGAGTCTTCTAGTAAATTACACTTGTTCTGGAAAGGATTTAAATCCCACGTCTTTTTGGATTCATGCCTGAGGTGGGTTGGTTGATGGCTGGTGATATCCTGTGTCTGCTTAGGAACTAAAGTTCCTCGACAGGTGAAGAGGAGGTGCTGAGAAAGCTCTGCATTGTGCAGGGCTCTCTTTCCTTGTGAGTTCTCCATTGGCCATACACAATGTCCTTAATGAGGGCCAATCACTCTTCCTCCAGAGTAGGCCTTGGAAGAACCATCCGAAGGACTCTGTCACTGCTCCTTACTGAACCTGCCCTTCCTCCCCTCTTCTGTGTCTCCAGCTGTCCCTTTAGGGTATCTCCAAACAGCGGAACTGGCCATGCCAACCCAACTTTCAAGTTGCAGACTCCCCAGGGCAAGCGAAAGGTAAAGGATTTGCACTTGTGAGCTTTGCTACTTCTTTATCCCCCGGGCCTCTCCTGGATTTTCCTAAGAGCCATGGGATTGGAAATAAAAGCCATTTATTGGCTTGAGAGATACACTTGTTGATTCTGTTGTCCCCTGATTGCCTTAAAGGTTGCATCTGATCTCTGAGATCCCCGGCAGTTTAACAGGCCTGGATGTCAGTCCTACCCCCGGTCATCTTGATGAGATACAGAGGGTACATCTGAGTTTTAAGCATGCTGCCACTTCCTCGTCTCAGGAGTTCCTTGTTTTGCACACACAGGTGACCAGCACTCCTGAAGCCCTGAGGAAGCCCTCCCAGCCTCCTCCCCGGCCTCCTCCAGACTACCTGCATGGTGGGTGTTTACCTGCACCACTGTTAGCCCATCTAAGCAGGACTGATAGCTCCGCAGGGGCCTCATCTCAAGTAGAGAGAAAAGAATCATCCCGGAGGCCTCCCCCAAACCGGCCTGTGCCCCCAGCACCCAACTCCATCCTCCCCCAGGTAGGTGGATTCACAGCACCTGCTGTGGGTGATGTCCGAGGCTGGGAGGAAGGAATGGTTGGAACTGACTGCCTTTTCTGAATTCCGGGGACTCCGGAGAACTTGCAGAAAGTTAGAGCCATGACTGTGGGGAAATGAACTCCCCGGACGTCCCCTAATCCAGAGAGCATTTCCTTCCTGCTCCGCTGACTTCAGAACAACAAACTACCACCTTCTACCCAAAATTAATTTCTTGCAGTTCCCTGTGCTCTCCTACCCTCTGAGTCTTTGCAAATGTTGTTCTGCCTGACAAGCTTCTGCCCAGTGCCTGGCCAGCTTCTGTTCGCCCTCAGACACACACTTAGATGCCTCTCCTCCAGGGGCCTTTTCTGAGCCCTCCAGTCTGAGCTTGACACCTCTGTGCTGCTCTCCTCATGGTGCCTGCCTGAAATGTACCTGCAAGTGTCCCCGCTAAAAGGGAAACCTTTCTGAGGGGTGTACCCTGGAGGCCTGCCTTACTGGGGGCAGGTCAAGGCTCCAGGGTCTCTGGGAGGTAAGAGTGGGGTGCAGGCTTCTCCACCACTGATGCTTGTGGAAGCAGAGCCACCACCCAGTGGCCCATTCTCTCAGCATGTTGTGCCCTGATGGCCTGGTCCTGGCAGAGGTGCTCTGGTATAGACACAGGTGTTTCTGGGGCAGTGGCCAGGTATGATGCCCTCTGAGTGTTTTGGCCTTCTCTCCTCAGGTGAGGCCACTTTTCTTGGGTGTGGTCCAGAGGGCTCCGTAGTGCTGCTCCAGTTCGAAGGACTGTGGGGTTAACTGCAGGCTTTGCAGGACCCTGGCATGTGGGGCCAGTATGGCAGTTCGCCAGAGCTAAGGGCATTCATTCTCGTTGTCTGTTGTGAAACTGGTCCTCTTGCTTTGCTCTGTGTATGGCAGGGGTGTGATGGGAAAGTCACGCAGAAAGGGAGGGGAAAGATTCACAGGGAGAGAGAAAAGGGAGGAGATGGGGAATGTATTGCTTTTCTAAGGCTGCCATGACAAAATGTGGCTCAAACAGCAGCTAAGTGTTTCCTCATGCTTCTGGAGGTCCAAGATCGTGGTACTGGCAGGGCTGGCTTCTCCTGAGGCCTCTGTCCTTGCCTTGCATACTGCCGCCTTGTCCCCACCTCCTCATGTGGCCTTTCTCCTGTCCTCGTGCATCTCTGTGTGGAGTCTGTGTGTCCAAATGCACTCCTGCTAAGAGGCCCGGTTGGATTAGGGCCCACCCCAATGGCCTCGTTTTAGCTTAATCACCTTTTCCAAGGCTGCATCTCTAAATATGTCCCATTCCGAGGTACTGGGAGGGCATGTGCACATTGCAGCCCATAGCAGAGAGAAGGGAAGAAAGAGAGGCGAAAGCAGGGATGAGGAGAGAAACAAGGGGGAGAAGAAAAAGCAGAGGTGCCTGAGGAGGAAGAGGGAGCAGTGCATTCAGAGCATTGTTCCTGAAAACCCTCCCTGGATGCTTATTCAAGGAACAAGGAACAGGCCCAGCCTCGCTGCATGTCCCCCCAGGGTGCTGATCACTAGCTCACGGGTGTCGGGGCAGCAGGAGTCAAGAGGGGTGGGAAACAGACTGAGGTTCTGCCTGCTGTCCTGCTCCTGTCGGCAGAAGCCACTGAGCCGGTGACAAGTGTCTCCACAGGCAGCTCCCAGGTACAGCTGCTCCTGGCCTAGGGTACCAGCGGGGCTTTCTCTAAGGGCAGCAGTAGAGGCCGCTGCTCTGAGAGGAGGTTGCGGGCCCCTTCCACTGGGGAGCACTGAGTTTTTCTGACCCTCGTTTCTTACCGAAGTCGTTGAGTCTGAAGGGGTTGAAGGACTCATCCAAGATAGCAGCACCCTCTGTGAGTGCGACAGCCAGGCCTTGACCCTAGGTCTTACCCTGCCCTTGGGCATCACCATCTCAGTCTCTCAGCTCCACCCCTTCTAGCTGGATGTGTTGACTGCTCTGGAGAGGTGGTAGCTGAAAGTCCATCCCCTCTTCTGCCCTTTCCACTGAGGTGCACTGCTTCCTCTGGATGCCCGTGAGCAAAGCAGACGCGCATTCTGCTGGGGCAGAGGCTCCGGGGTTCGTGCAGTTACAGCAGTGATAAGTGCTGTGCAGCAAGGTCCAGGGTGCTCGGAAACAGAGGACCTGACCTCACTGGGAAGGCGGGAACGCTTCCCTGAGGAGCTGACATTTGAGCTGAGGCCCAAAGGAGGAATAAGAGTCACCCAGGCTGTGAGGGTGAGGAGCGGGCAGAGACCCCTTCCTAGAGGGGGGACAGCCCCGTAGGGTGCAGGAACTCAAAGCCCTGCTGGCCTGGGCCCCAGGGACTGAGAGGAGACTGACGAGGAGGAGGACTGACTGCTTGGGCCACATAGCCTTGGTCAGGATTCGGGTCTGCATTCCATGAGGAGGGGACAGTGGTAGCGGTAGAAACAGATGGGGTTTGTCAGTGCCAAAGGTCACTTCTTCGGGTTCCCTTGAGGCAGGAGGAAGGTGTGAGGCCTGCGAGGCACCTGGGCTGTTAGTCTTCTAATTTTTGACTTGGGTGAGGTAATATATGTGCATTCACGTGTTGGCCATTTGTCTCGTATTTATATATTGTTCACCTTTTATGTGTATATTACACGAGAGTTAAAAGAACAGTTTTAGAAAATGAAAGTGCTACTCTGATGGCGAATGGGCTTACTGGTTCAAAGGTATAAATGTTGTCCTGAAGAAGGAGGGTTGTAGCTTGGAGGCTGAGGGTGGGCAGGGGTGACAGAGAGAAGCTGATGAGAAATACATAAAGAAGGGTAGACATTGCCAGTGCGGTAGGCAGGGGATGACACCCAGGCTTTGGCTTGTGCAACCCGATCAGGAGGTACTGCCCTTGAGGAAGGGGACTGTGGGCCAGGGACTGTTTTGGCTTCCAAGAAACAGGGTTAGGGCCAGGGATTTAGCTCAGTGGTTCCGCCACCTGCCTTGCAAGCGGAAGGTCCCGAGTTCGATCTCCGGTACAAAAAAAAAACCCAACAAACTATGTACTTCCAGGAAACAGGGTTGTGAGGCCCCTAGTCTGGCTGAGCTGGGTCTCATCAGAGGTAGCCCATGGGAGGTCGCAGCCCTGGAAGGCCTGGTGCTGACAGCTGATAAGGCTCCCGGCCAGATAACAAGGCCTCAGCAGCTCATTCTGCAACCCGACATCTGCACCCACCTGTCTTCGCTCTCCCCGGAAGGGCTCTGTCCTGGGTGTCCTGAGCTGGGCGGGGAGGGTAGGGGGTCTCATTATCTTTTGGAGAAGGAATACAGCTGAAGAATGTGGCTCTTCAGACACCTGAATTTCCTCCTCTCCTGTTCTCTGATCTTTAGTGTCTGCTCTGTTTTCTGACCAAAGACTCACAGAAAACCTTGGCTCTCCGCGTTGTTCCTGCCCTCTTTTCATGCCTGCCGTTTGCCCCTTTTTATGCTCATTAGCAAACCTCTCAGGAAAATGAACAAATCAGTACATTGGGTCCCTTCTTTCCCTTCCTCTTTCACACTCTCTCTCAGTACTGGGGATGGAGCCCAGGATCTGGTGCGTACTTGGCAAATGCTCTAAAACTAAGCTACTCTCTCGGCCCTAAACACCACCAGTTTGGGAGTGGTCCATTCTTTGCCCCTTAAAATTTTTTTTTCGGCCACAGAAGAAATATATATTTCAAAAAAATTGGCTAGTGCAGAAATGCATAATTATTTCAAGAAATTTGACTAGCACAGGTATCCATCTAATAGATGTCTAGGGCTTTCCAGATACCAAACCTAGTCCTGAAAGCTTGAGATGAATCAGTGAGCCCTGCAGACCAGGACTTCTGCCCCTGCTGGAGAGGCAGAGCATAAAGGCCCCTTGATACGTGAAGAAATGATGTGGATTGGAAAAGGGCGAAGAAGAAAGAAGTGAATTAGGATGCACGGGTCAGAGTGCCAAGTGCCAGTGTGGGGGTTGTATTGATTTTAAATGAGGTAATCAGAGAAAAACCTTGTTGAGAATGACGGAAACATAAAAGTAACATTAATCCACAAAGAATCCTTGTTAGTTGTACTAACTCATAGACAAACCATGTGGGAAAAAATCTGGTTTCTTCTTTTGTAAATTTATTTTTTAGTTGACCAGATGATCTTGTTTAAAAAAAATTGAATGTTCATCTAGACCACTGCTGTCCCTACTGACACCCATCCCAGTGTGACCTCTACTGTCAGTGTCCTTTGTATCCTTTCGGACTGTTCTCTGTTCCCTGACATCTATATCGGGGGACTGTGGTGATGTTTTATATAAACTATCTTCTGCAGCTTGAACTTCAGCTTTTTGCACTTAACAATGAGTCTTAAACATCTCTTCCCAGCAGCTCGCATCTACCTACTTTATTCTGTTCAAATGCTACATCGTGTATCACTTTATAATGTTAGTTTATCAATCAATACAATTTGGGTGATTTATCCTTTCTTTGTTGTCACAAACAGTGCCGCAGAGCACATTCTTGCAACTTCCTTTTTGGGTACCTGTGCCAATAGTTCTCTAACGGGGCCAGCAGGGAGTGAATTTTCCAATCAGAGAAGGATCATTTCTAATTTTAACAGATGCTGTCAACTTGCTCTTCACAGAGGCTTTGAGCATTATGTGCACACATACACACACTTCCTGTTGAAGTGGGGCCATACAGTGTATACTTTTTTTTCACTTGATCAGTAAGCTATCCGGACTGTTTTCTTTAGAGCAGGCTCCTTTGGCCTTTAACTGACACCTACTGCTTTCCCTACAGGATTTCTCCAGGCCTCGGCCGCCCCAGAAGGCTCTTCCAGCAAACCCGGTGCCCAGCCGCAGGACCTTCGCCAGGCCAGACCCTCAGCAGGCCCAGGCTCTGGTAGCTCCTGCTTCAAAGGTGAGTCCAGGGGAAACTGGAGGGCCGCAGCCGGCACTTGTGTGGTTAAGGAGTCAAACCATGTCGTGCTTCTTCTTGCCAGAGTAAAAGCCACAAAGCAAAGCTTAGCATTTTTTGGTATCTTCTTGACTGTCTCTTAAAGTAGTAATAGGGTGTTTAGGCTTCGTGTGACTGCTGACACCCAAGCTGTGCCGGCTTTAAACCTGCATCTGCAGCCCACCAGCTGAGTGACCTGACCAAGTCCCTCTCTTGCGTCTGCATTTCCTTGTCTGTAGAAAGCATAAGAAGCAGCAAGAGCTAGCGTCTTATGGTTGCTGTGAAGATCAAAGCAGTTAATGCATGTAAACTGCCTGGGCTGTGGGAGGTGTGCACAGCAGGCCCTTTCCCTACCCCTTCTCTGTGGCTGGTGGTGGCTAAGCTTCTCTTAGCTTCCCAGTCCTGGGAGTGGAGTCAGAAAGGGAGGGCATGAGGAAGCTCACTGACAGGCTCCAGGAAATCCATGGGGGTGAAGCATCAGCTCGAGGTGGGGCCGCCCACCATGCCTCTCCTCTCCGCAGACCTGTGGTCTCGGTGAGCAGCCACATCCACAGACCTCTGCAGGAGCAGGAAGCCTCTCTTCTCAGGGATGATGTGTCTGTCCTTCCCAGCTGTCAAAAGCAAGAGGACAGCTCCCACTGATCCCAGAGAACTGGCATCAAGCTGACGCCTTCCTCCCTCCTTTCTTCTCTTTCCAGTTTCCCGAGTACACATCACAGAGGACTGGGGGGATGACTAGCTCCAGAATCTAGACTGGTCTAGAGATTTCTCACTTTCCTCAACGGCTCTGGATGCCACAAGGATCCGTGAGCAACCGGAAGAAGCATGTCTGGCTGCCTCTGAGCTCCTCCTGTCCTTTTCCTGGAAACACCACAATTCCCCTCTTGATTCAGTGCCTCCTCATGCTCCTCGGAGGCCCATAGGGACTATTACCTGATGGCTTCTAAGTGTTGGTCTGTGCAATATACAGCCCAGGTAGGGAGGGGAGCACACAGAAGAGGCTGAGTGGCAGCTTCTCCATCCACCCTCCCAGCCTAGAGGTCTAATGGAGATGGCCAGGACCATCAGAGCTGGTGAACCACCTGGGAGATGCTATGCTCAACCCCTTGGCTGGGGCTTAGCTTGGAGAAGCTGCCTGTTCAGGTCCTATGGCGGAGGTACACCTGAGGGCTTCTGTTGCTTCTGTCTCCCTCAGAGGCTACAGGCTAGACAGAGACTGGACCCTTACCTTGCCCTTTCAGCTTTTGGGGATTGAGGAAGGGTCCACCAGATATTGCTGTGGTCCTGCCCAGGGTTTGGCTGAGGTGACTGCTCCTGACCATATGGCTGCATGTGACAAGCCAAACCCCCTCCCCACAGCCCCTATTCACACGAGTCACTCTGACTCAGACAGGTACTATTTGTAGGCAGTGTAGACAGCAGGGGGAGCACCAAGCCTGGGCCTCCTCTGAGCCATCATGCCAAAGGTGAAGTCTTGGTAATTATTGGTTTGCTCTTTGTATTCTTTTCTTTCTCTCCCACTGCTCTGTGATTCTGTTTTCTCCCTCCCCCTCAGGCCCACTGTAATGCATGGTGCTTTGGTGAGTGGACCCTCAACAGTCCTGACTTTAGGGACCAGGTGCTTGTGACCTACGAGTCAGGGTCCTGCCTCATCTGCTGGCCATTCAATTTCCTCCACTGGATCCCAAGAGTGTTGAGCAGAGTGGACTCAGGGCATGGCTGTGGGAGTCATATCTTTGTGTTCATTGTGTTCTGTGACCTCAGCAGCGTGAGGGTCTTCCTCCTTACTCCCTGACCTACATCTAGGGGAGGTCTTCCAGGGATGGTAGCCCATGTAGTAAAAGGAACAGAAATCCTTGGAAGCCCAGCTCTTTAAAAAGTACACACCAGCGAGCCATCTGTCCCTGATGGTCTGCTTACTGTCTTAAGGTGGGACCATTGTCCTCCGAGCAGAGATGAGAGCTGTTTCTAACCAAAAGAGCCATCACAGACCCCTTGAGATGCCAGCCATCCACAGCCATGGTGGAGCAGTCTGAACTGGGGACCCCGCTCCTCCTGCTCACCAAGGCTTCTATTATTCATGTCCTTCAGTTCTTTCCTGACCATCACAGAGAGAGCTCCCAGCAGATGGAAGACTGGGCTCCAGAGGATCCTGTCCTGCCTGGAGCCCAGAAGGAGGGCTGTGTGGTGGGCTGCTGGATAGGATGGTTTTTGCAAAGCAGCTGAGGATGGTCTCAGACTGTCCCCAACCCCCAAGAGGTGCTGGGTGGCTCTCCTGAGGTGAGCTGGCCTAACATGCACTCCTTTGGATCTTCCAGGGGCCTTCCCACCTCCTACAGGAACAACTATTTGCTCTTCAAAACCTCAATACGGGGAGGAGACTGAGCTTTTGACCCCCATCCCCAGGGCCTCCTTGTAATAGATCTTTGCACTCTAGACGCTGAGCTAAGGTTCTTGGGTTTGTGGATCAGTGGGATTTGTGGGACACAGGTGCGAGGGAAAACACGGGGTGGGTTTAGAAAGATCTCAGGAAAATGCATTTCCTTCCCTCAGGGTGGTAGTGATGTTGGGGTCCTGTCTCCCTGGCACAGACCTCCTTGACCCCATGTCCAGTCCTGACCTTGCTGCCAGGAGACAACCTTTCCTTTAAGTGTGCTGTAGCAAATGCCCTGTGCCTCAGAGCTGGGTCCCAGGAAAGATGTCCTCCACCACCCCTTCCCCATCAACAAGCAAACTGTCCTTAAGCCCAGCCCTGTGCCTCCTCGAAGTCCCTGTGGGCTATGCAGCCTTTCTGCCTCACATCAGAAGCAGTGGCTCTGAAGTGCCAATGCACAGCCATGGGGGCTGCATGAGCCTTTTGAACCTGAAATCCACTGTCCCTAGAACTATAACAGGAAGTGTCCTGGTTGCTGTTTTCTTGCTTTTTTCCCGCCTCCCCATTATTTTAATACCGCCTCCATCCCATGAAATTATACTGTGAACTGGAAGATGGTAGAATTATTTGCTCTTGATGACAACTTCAGCAGCCAGTTCTGTTAACCATTTCACAGCTGGGTCTGTTCAGGGAGCTGGAAGTCATTTTTCTGCAGACCAGGGAAGAAGGGTTCCCATTGCATCCCCCTTTCCCTCCTCTGCCAATGTGCTGCTGTAAGGTGTTGCTGTTGAGACATAGGGAAACGGACTTTATTCCAAAGGATTATTGCAAGGAGGGGAATGAAAATACTGCCCTAGGGAGAGGAGGGGGACTACTGCAATAAGAGGAATACACAGACCCTTCGTCAAATCTGCAAGGATTCTCAAGCCCAGGCAGAAAAGGCCTTTTCTTTTATTGGAAGGAATTAGCTCAGCTAGAAAAAAAACTGCATCCAGGGCATGTCTGCGTGTCCAGCCTTTTTTGGGAAGGGACTCTCTGTTAAAAGACATGTTTTTGGCTCAGGCTGACTGTGGGTACAAGCCCACCATCTGGTGGGGAGGAGGGAAGCTTAACTGAAGTTTGGTCTGTTGAGTTAACCAGTAGTTTGCTGGAGAAAAACATTGTAAATCTTTTTAGAAGCTACATGGTTCCTCCTGCCAGTTTTACAACACTGGAATATTTTTTAGGGGCCCGAAGCCATTGCTGAAATGTAAGCCTCAGGGAGATAGAGCCCCATCTCTGCCTCTGTGGGAGGTTTAGCCTGGGCCCCCAGCTCTGTGTTGCAACTACTTGTTTGCCTTAGATTCCTTTTGGCCTTGTTGACTTTTATGGTTAAGACTTGGCTCTTACAGAGCTTATGGTCTTAATGTTTTCTGCATTACAATGGTCCCCTCTCTTACTGCAGTATCTCCTAGCTGCTTGCAATAATCCTTTTTAATGAAGTCTCCTCTTAGGTGTGACCTAATTTATTCTTATTTGACAGAAGGTATGGAAGACTTTTAAGAATTGGGGACCAGTTCTAAAATCAATAATTGTGTTAAATGCATGGTAACAGCTCTGCTGTACACCTAAGCGAGCCAGGGAAATGGCAACTGGAAAGGTTTCCCATCTCTAGAGAGGCCTGAGATGGAGCGGCTCTGCAGAATCCAAAGCCAATGCCACCACCCCTAAGCCACCCTCTAGCATCCTCTTGTGCCACCCGTTTTGTGTACGTGTCTGGGATTCAGGGCAATGTGAATTTTCTTTTTATTTGAGAGAGATCCTTCATGGATTACAGATCCTCTTCTCTCTTGTCCACCTATTGTTTACAAATATTTGTACATCTATGCAAAATACTTGAATGGGCCATGGTGCCTTTTTCCCTTGTTTGTATTTAATTAAAATGAATTGTTTGTCATTTGAAATGTTATCTGGTATGGCAACTCTTTTGTGTATGCATGTTTTACTATCCCACTGTTTGGGCCAGATACCCATGACTTAAGACCTCAGAGAAAGTTCTCACAAGGACCCTCAGTCCAGCCTCGAGGCCATTACTATAGACCCGGAACCACCATGAAGCCCCATGTTTCCTCATGACCAGTAGAGGGGGCTGTTTGTCTTTGCACCTGGATAGCTCCTACTCTAGTTTAATGGGGTCTTGGATCATTAGAAGCCTGAATGATATTGAGATTTTCTGATCTGTTTCTTCTCTGCCCCCACTACTGTATTTAGAAGACATCTTCGACCCTCTGTTCACTCATCTTATTGCTAAGGATGATACTTGGGAGAGACTTGCCCCAGATCTCTGAGGCTGGCTGGGCAGGTGTAGCCAGGGCCAGGCTGTGTGTGCCGTCTGGTTCCAGAGCCTGTGTGGTAAAGAACGCAGCTCATACCAGATCCACCCGGATCCTCGCTGAATCCTCACCTCATTTTGAGGTCATCTAAGAGAGATGGACTACTGATAACCATGAGAGGAGACAATGCTTCCTGAAGACTTAACACATGTGAGGCACTGTGTGCTACTGTTCTTGATGTAGATGATCTCATTAATCTTCACAGAAATCCTGGCACAGGGTCCTTGATACCTCATTGTACCTGTCTAGACTCTCATGGTTCTACATTTGCATAAGAACACTATAGCCATCTAAACACAAATGCTTTTACCACTGATGTTGCCACTTACAAAATTAGTCCCTACCCAAACACCTCTGCCTCTTAACAGGCCACTCTGTCCCCTCTGGTGGCCAATCTCTGTGCTGATGGTCACCCACTGGTTAGTAGTGTAATACAGAACATCTGGCTGGACAAACCTGGGCTCAAATCCTACCCCTGCTACTTCTAAGATGCATGAGCCTAGATAGATTCTAGAATTCTGGGTCTCTCTTCCTACACAAATGGGGATAATAGTTGGCTCTCCCGTGTGTTGCAGCCTTATTCCCCAGGGAAGTGCTGATGGGAGGTGGTAAATTAATAGCTGGTGTCTAGTGGGGAGATCATTGAGGTTATACCCCAAAGGGGACTGTGAGAACCAGCCGCCGCCTCCTCCTCATTTTCTCCTTCACTTCCCAGCCATGAGGGGAGTTTCGCTCTGTCACATGCCCCCACCATTACTTGGCTACCTCACTACAGCCCCAAAGCATCCAGGCCAACTGACCGTAAACTGGAATTTCCAAAACTGTAAGCTAAAATAAGTCTTTTCTTTTTATAAGCAAATTTCCTTGGGTATTTGTTATGGTGATAGAAAGCTGACACAAATACCCCCTCAGAAGGCTGCAGTCCTCAGAGAGGTGCTCTGTGAAGGTACCCACAGAGCCCGCTGCAGGCTGCGAGCTCAAACTGCATCAGGTTTTTAGCTGCCAGGATAATGGTAGGATGTGGCTTGGGTTCAAGGATGGTCCCCAAACATGGTGTGGTGGGATAGGGCTGCAATTCCAGCCTTCTAGGAGGCCAAGCCAGGAGGATAACAAGGTTGAGCCCGGCCCAGAAATTTAGTGACTTAGGAAGACCCTGTTTCAATATTAATAAAAAATGGGCTGGGGATATAGCTCCATGGGAAGGCTCTGGGTTCAATCCCCAGGACTGCAAAACAAAACAAAATTGGTTCCCAAATGAGTCCAGACAAAGAAGGACTGTTTAGAATGGAGTTGTTCCTCCATTAAAGACCAACAGATTTTTTTGAATGCCTACTATGTACTAGGTACCAAGGATAAGCAGTAAATCAAGGCAAGCTCTCGTGGAGTTTACATTCAGATGAAGATGTACAGCACAGATCGCGAGGAAATATGGTAGTAGTCATGGTAGTAGTAGTAGTAGTAAATGAAGATTATGCAGGAGGGGTCAAATATCATGTTTTGGGGAGACACACTGTTACCTGGTGTTGAGACTGCGGTCTTGGAACCAGAGAGTAGCTTCATCGCCTCCTGGCCATGTGACCTTGGCCAATTATTTAACCCAAGTCCCTTTCTGGATACATAAATTATGGATTAAAAAAATATATCTACCTTGGGAATTTCAAAGGCATTGAAAAAACAATTCACATGGATCAGCCACTATTCTTGGTGCCTGGCAAGGACTCCAGGTTTAACTAGGGATAAGTTGTCCTCAGTGGACTCTTCTCAAAGCAGCTTGTCCCACTCTGAGTGACAGCACAGACACAGAAGATGCTAGAGGGCTTCTCTTGGCAGCCCTGCTTTCAGACTGGGGACTGATCTCCCAGCACCAGAAGAAAAAATTTAATTGTTACACATCCAGAGAAGTTCAAGGCGCACATGTCAAATAAACAACTCTGAAGTTTGTATTGTTAACCCTTCAGTTCACACTCTCAGGGCTCTCAGTTTACTGTCATTCTTGAGATCTGTAGCGTTGCACTGATATTAGTCACAGAGAGAAATCACATTCATTAAAAACTGGGGAGGGCTGGGGATGTAGCTTAGTGGCGCTGCGCCTGCCTCACAAGCACAAGGTCCTGAATCCGATCCCCAGTACCAAAAAAAAAACCCCAAAACAAACCGGGGATTTGAGGCTAGAGATGCAATAGCCAGAATGTGGGTCCACTGAGCCTTTGGAGCTCCAAGGCCAGCAGGAGTGGTGTGGGCTCAGCCACACTTAGGGCAGGAGATGTGAACACAGAACGCAGGCAGGGACTTGTGTGAGGGTCTGAGCATCAGTGTGGGGCTGAGGATCTAGTCTTCCCTTGTTCTGATGAACTGGCTCCTTAACGTCCCTTTCCGTGGTCCTTGTTCCCTTCACGCTCTTGCAGCTAGAAAAGGGGAAGGGGTAACAATTACATCTCCTCAGCTGCTCTTTCTATGGATGCCTCTGGCCAAATGTGAGGGACAAAGGCAGTCCCCACAGCAGGTGGTGTTGGGTAAGTCATGGTGTGCTGCTTCCGTGTGGGCAGCTCACCAGTGGAACTGGGGACTCAGTGGCAAATCTGATCAACAGCCCCCAGGCATGCTATGCCAACCAGGCCTGCACCCTACTTGGTCTGAGCTGAGATTCACAGCTGGTCCCACTGGCCAAGCCTCTAAGGCTATGGCCCAGAAATCTCTGGAGCCTTTTATGCCTGGGTTCCTGGTGGTGCAGCAGAGAAAACCCAAAGGCTAGCCCCTCATGTCCAGATACTCTTAAGTTCCTTTTGCTGAGCCCTGACTCCACACCTTTTCCCCTCCTTCCCAAATCATGTTGTGGTTGACCTCTTGAGAATGAGGAAAGTGCATCCTGTCAGATTCCAGCTCCACAGCCGGGGCACCATTATGAGCAGTGCAGCTGCTGTTCTCCTTCCAGAGCAAGGCAAAATGAGACAGGTTTGGCTAGCAGAGCCTGACTGTGAGGCATTTGTTATGGTTGCTGCTGTTGCTGTTTTGAGTTGTAGGATTATAGCCTGCCTGTCTCAGTGACTGGCTCCTTGGGATGTGCACTGAGAGGGAAGGGGTGGCAGTGCAGTGGAGCAAAAGACACCAAGATGCTGACCACCAGGCTTGAATGCTTGGGAAGGGGCTGAGTGAAACTTCCCTGAGACATCAGGTGGCTTTCACAGTAAGAAAGTCAGCTAGGGTCCTCTTTCTGTCTCCTAGAATAAATGGCAAAAGCAACAGGGTACTTTGCATTGCTTGTGTACCCGTGGCCTCCAGATGGGGAGGCTAACAAACTGCTCTGGACTTTTGGGAGTCAGCTCTATTGCATTATTGGGCTGAGGAACAGAGACTCGGTCTGGGGAGGAGAATTGGTGTGAAGGATTTCCTGAGGCCCAGACTCTCAGGGAGTTCTTGGACTGGGCTACATTCAACAAGTCCTATTCTGTCCTCTCCTGACATGGAGATGGTGCAGAGAACAGCAGTGAGAAGGAGGCCCAGGGTACCTGCTGGCTCCCATGTCAACTTGGTCACTGAGGCTATTTCCAGGAAGTGCTATGGCCACCACTTATCGGGTAGGGAATTTTTTCTCCTCAAAACAGCGATGAGGTATAAATCAACATGTCAAGAAGACATAGCCCATGGGCAGCAGTTGTGCTGAAATGACCTGGTAGTTCTAACACTGAGAGTTCAGGCTGCACCATCAGGCCCATCCTCTCACTTGTGTATTCCATGCTTTATGAGTGGATTGTAAATACCTTGGGCTTCTTTTCTGGTGATGGGGCGCTGGCAAGTTCTATATTGTCCACAAGGATGTTCTTGTCTTCCAGTCTGATGACGGTGGGCTCTGGGGCGGGAGGTGGGGTGGGGGTTTTGTGCATATGGGGCAAGTTGGTGTGACTGATATCCAAGTCTTTGAAAGCATGAAGCATGAACACAGCCAACATGATGGTGACAAAGCCAGACAGGGCGCCCACAATGTCCTCAGCGGTCATGCTGTACCACTCCTTGAACAGGACAACGGAGTTGGTGACAACCATCGTAGTGAAGAACACATAGTAGATGGGGAATACCAGGGAAGTATTAAAAATGTCCAGTGCCCTGTTGAGGAAGTTGACCTGAGTGCTGAGGCTAAGTCCCAGGATGAGGGACAGGATGTAGGGCAGAGGGTGCCGCACAACTGGCAACCCCTGAAAGAAGTTCCTAATGGTGATGCCCAGGCCCTTGACAGCAATCACAGAGAAGGACCCAATCACAGAGCAGATGATGATGTAAATGAGGATATTCCTTTGTCCATAACGTGGGGCGATGATGAAGATAAGGATGAGGCAGGACACCATCAAAAGCACAGTAAAGACAATGAACCCTGCAGGAAGGGAGGGACACAGATTACTCCAGCTGTGAAGGATGTGGTCGGCATCTAGAGCCCAGTACCCACAAAAAGGGGAAGCAGCTCTCCATTTGGATAAACGTGGGTCCCAGTCCCAGCTTCCAACCTTTAAATGACTTGAGTAAGTTATTGAACACCAAAGACCTCAGCTTCCTCATTTGTAAAAGAGGGCAAACAACAGGATCCATACAGGGCTGTTTTGTGAGACTTGATGAGAAAAAGCATTTAGAACACCTTCTGGAACATGCTAACAAAACAAAGCATTTTTGTGCCTCTGGCGAGGAAGCCCATAAAGTAGCCTTGCTAATTCGTACCAGCCCTCTAACTTCCTTTCTTTAGCTTGCTCTGCCCTCTGGGGCAGCAGCGGAGATGGTCAGAACCCAGTCAGACCTTCAGCAGATCCCCCATGTTTTCTCCTCCCCCTGCTGCATGAAGCCTACCTGTGTCTTTCATCTTGGAAGCCAGCTCTGTGACAGTAGTGATGCTCTCTTCTTTAGGGGCATGTATCACCATCACTGTGCTGCCAGCCACACAGATGGCACAGCCCAACTTCCCCAGCAGATTCAGTCTCTCTCCCAGGAAATACGAGGAGAACACGGCACTGCACGTGAAGATTGGGAGAAGCCCATTAGGACAGTTCTGCCTGTCCAGAGTCTTAAAGAGCCATGGTGGCTGAGTGAGCTCTCAGAGAACAAAAGAGCAGAACTCACTACTCTTATTGTGAAAGTTTTCCCACCTCCTCCCCGCAGTGTTTGAAAGAGAAACTCATTCCTAGGAGAGTTAGTTACAGTGTGTGCTGTATGGATAGAAATGCAGGGCCTAGGATTTAGCTCAGTGGTGCCACCACCTGCCTCACAAGTGTAAGTTCCCGAGTTCGATCCCCCGTACCAGAAAAAAAAGAAATGCAGGCGTGCTTCTCTGATACTGAAAGCGGCCCCGAATTGAAGGGTCGGAAGAATCCTTCAAGCTGTTCCCATCTAACTTCTACCCACTGAACACACTCCCTTTTAGTACTGCTGTGAGGTGTCTTTCTCTGGTAGCAGGCAGCTCACCCTTTTAGAAGCCAAAGGGGCATATTGTAGGCCCACGCTAATTATTGGCCAAATATACACCACTTGGCAATTTCTATTCCTTGTTCCACTTCTTCTTGGTTCATTCAGGACAAATCTATTCCTCCACTTGTATGTGTCAACATAAACAACCTCAATGACATTTATAGATGCTACACCTGGGGCATATATTCCCTACCTGGTACTGTGCCAGAAACTTTACATGTATTATCTCACTAACACCTCACAGCTCTTGGTGAAGTAAAACACACCATTCCTATTTTATAGATGAGAAAACTGAGTCTCACAGAAATCAAAGTGACAAGGTTGTATGGCTAGTAAGTAACAGAACCCAGATCTGAGCTCAAGTTCAATTTCAGTATAAAGCCAATGTGTGTTCCTCTCCCCCCTCACTGAAGCCACCCCATGACCTCCTTGAGCTGTCACGTTTCTGGGCACAATACCTCTGCCTAGCACCTTGGTGTTCCTGGGTGACACGATTTCCACTCTTCTCACATCCTCTAGATGAGCCAGCAAAGGTGAGGGAAGGGATGGGGAAATCGGGCAAGCTGGGTATGACCCGTGGGCGTGGTTCTTCTTTACAAAGGTGGCGTTAGTATAGGGTAAAATCTGTTGGCTGTCCTAGGACCCAGGTGGCCTCAAAACACTCCTGGTTTGAGGCTTCATGAGAGGGGACACCAAGGTCTAAACTCTCCCGTCTATCTCCCGTCTTCCTCTCAAAAGGCTAAACATGTTTTACCTACAGTAGCCTATTCCAGAGAGTCTGATGGCATTTTCACAGGCAGGGATCACACATCACAGGAGTCCAGGCCTCTCCCAACGACCTGGGACTGGGAATTTGTAACCTGATCAGATATGTGATAATTATATCATAGCCACATCAGCTGTGAAATCAGCTAGGCCAGTTGTATAATGTGAGTCATGGTTCTACTTGTTTTGCATGTAAATGTTGTGAAGTTGTCAAGATAGCAAAGTAAGACTTAGGAAACTGTGGGTATCCAGGCGTGGTTGGCTGGGATTTACCAGAGTTCCAAGATTAGCCCAAAACCAAAAGCCTCCGATCGATGGGGCCCTGGGCCCCCACAGAAGAACTGGCTCTAAGTTTGTAGCTCAGGGGCCTGAGGACAATGTAGGCACCCACATTTAGTTAATTGATTGCAGAGCTAGGGGTTGAATACAGGGCCTCATGCATGCCAGACAAGCCCACTGCCACTGGGCTACACCACCAACCCTGGAATCAGTTATTTTTAAAACTATTCATCATTAGTTTGTGCTCACTTGAGAGCCTCCATGGCATAGTGGTAAGCACCCAGGCTGTGGTATCAGACTCCCTCAGTTGGAATCCTGGCTTGGCTGCTTGGAACCTGCTTACTGTCGCCAAGTTCCTTAACCTCTCTTGGTGTCAGGTGAGGGTGCTATAAGGATTAAATCAGCCAATCCCCAGAAGACGTTCTAACATTCAGCACACAGTAAGCCCTCGGCCTGTGGCAGCCATGGTTATCCTTTGGTGCCAGTTCTGTATGAAACACCTTCTATGCATTAGCTCATTCAGTCCGTGCAACAGAGCCTCCCATCAGGTGTTATTGCATCCCCATTTTGTAGACAGGGAAACTGAGGGTTGGAGCAGTTAAGTGACTTGCCCACAACATCGTAACTACTAAGCATTCAAGTGAGGATTAGAACTCCAGTAGTGTGAATCTGGGGCTCATGCTCTTAATTTGCATCCTTCTCTTATTGAGACACCAAAATATTCACATGCGACAGCCAGCCTGGTGGCAGCAGAAGGCCTTCTAGTTGGTTTAAGCTTGGCCTGACCCTCTGTTCCCCACTAGTCAACAGGATGCTGGAGCCAGTGGTGGCAAACAATCCAGAGTTTGGGCTCTGAACAGCACAGTGCCTCTTTCTAGGGGCTGGCATTGACCTTGGTGCCTGAATGCCAAGTGGCAGTTAATTCCAGGCCTTGACAAACTGAAAAGAATAAAGAGCCAGAGAGGGCTAGAGAGGTGACAGCAACCTTATGAGGATACTTAGTGCTCCCAGCGGTGTGACGACCGTTGCAGGTGTAAATGCATAGGCTCCGAAGTTGGCAGCTTCTCCAGCAGCCACTAGAAAATAAAGGAAGAAAAGCGGCTCCTGTGTCTCCCAGGCACCACCTCCATCCCAGACGAATCTGGGTAGAGGCTACTTCCTCCATTGTGCAACCATGCCCAGAATCCCAGACCAACGTTCCTTAAAATACTGATCCTTCACTCTCTCCTGGGACAGGCTGATCAGAAGGTGAGCCCCAGACTCTCCTGACCAAAGCTTCCCGTTTTGGAGATGGTAAGGACAAGTTAAGTGAGATGCTTGTGGGTAAAGTCTTTTTGTTCTTCTCGTGGCTTGGTTCCTAGCCCAGGCACGGTTAAGTATGTCTCAGGAACTGCCAGTGTTTTGGTCTCCACTTTTAAGGTGAGTTCTAGAAAGGGTTAATTACCAAATAATGAACATTACATTTATTGATTCTCCAGGGACCAACTGGTCCATGAACCTCTTTCGTTGAGGAGCTGTGAACAGTCTAAACTGACAGGCAGGTTGGTAGAAAAGTCTGACATTGCCAAGGAGCATGGACTCGGCTCAGTGAGTTTCCAGGCTGCAAATGCCTGCACATGCCTTTGGTGCTGGAAAATAATAGCAGGGTCACCCTTTGAAGGCAGATGATCACTGTAACAGCTCTGCCTAGGGCAAGGGTCAAACTCTGACTTAAGGGGGTTATCAGTTCAACGTTTCCACCTAAAACAACTAGGGGCACTAGCCAGAAAGGGTGACTGGAAAGTGGAAGAAATATGTGAGTGTGCAAATCTAGGCAAAGCTTAAGTGGCAGACAAGCTATCAAAGTAGGCCAGCAAATTAATTGCCCATGGAATGAAGAAGTTGCCTTAGGGTCCTATCTTCTACCATGTAGAAGTCCACAGGGCCCTTTCCAAGAGGCAGTGATACTATTGCCCTATATTTCAAGGAAAGTTATGAAAATACACCTGTGCCATTATCAGCTCTGTACAAACCTCTTTGGGGTAGATGTTTCATGGATGAAGCCTGACATGGGGTAGAGAAAGTGATCTGAGATGAGAACAAGATGTCAAGGTTGTCAAGATTTTTCATACTTTCCATATTAGAAACAGAAATGCCTCATCCATTCCCACCTCCATCTCCATCCCTGCTATCAACAGTCCACTGTTATTAGTAGGAAAAGAACCCACTTACTGGTGAGAAATCCAGCCCACCACATGGTGTCCTTCAGGTAGCCATAGCCTCCGTCCACTGTGGGAGGGAAGTGACAAAGTTAGAAGTTGGCCACGCTTTCTCATGCTTTCCTAACTGGCTTCACTCCTGGACCTTTAACTGTTCCCTGGGGCTTGGTTCTTAGCTGTCTCCTCAGTAGGTTCATCCATCTCCAAAGTTTTAAGTACAATCTCTATACGATGCCCCTGTTTCATATCTGTGGCTTGGACTTTCCTCCTGACCCTAGAGGTAAATCCAACTGCTTACCTGACATCTCTTGAACTTCTCAGGCATCTTGATCTCTGTCCTCAATGGAACTCTTGATTTTCAATGTTCCCTACTCCCCTGCCAAACAAAACTCAGTATGGCACCTCCATTTATTTAGTTGCTTAAGTCAAAAACCAGGGAATTGCTCTTGATCCTTTTCTCTCCCCCTTCTTCTGCATCCAGTCTATCCTGCAAATTCTGTCTCCAAAAAGCATCTCACATGTGTCCACACCACTGCATTCACCCTCCTCAAAGGCCTTATCTTCTGTGGTCCAGGTTGAGGCAAGGACCTCATTATTCTAGTTCTACTCTTGTCCCTCTAATAATTCATTCCTTTCCTGGTAGCGAGTGGTCTTTTAAAAATGTAAATCATACGTTGCCACTTCTCAGTTTATAGCTGGCCAATGGCATCTGATTACTCTTAGGATGAAAACCAGAATCCCTAAGAAGCCCATGCATCCATGCCCTTGGCCCTGCTCACCTCTCCAAAGCCCTCTGCCACTCTTCTCTTTTCTTTTAGTGCTTCAAAATCAGTGAGCTCTTTTCTGCCTCCGGGCCTTTGTGCATGCTTTCCCTCACATCCAGAATATTCTTCCTACCATGGTTTGCCCAAATCCACACTCACTCTATAGGTCTGGTTTGCATGCTGCTTCCCCTAAGATGCTCTCTTTGACTCACTTATTTTCCTTTGGGATTCTTTTTCATAATCCCCAGTCCTTCTCTTTCAGAGCAATTATCATTTATAATTTCAGTTATCTCCTTATTTTTTGGCATTTCCTCCACTATAATGGGAGTTCCTCAAAGTCAGGAATTGTGTCTGCTTTGTTGAGGGCCTGGAGCATGCTCACTACTCACTAATACTAGTGACGATGATGCGGGATGGACTCAAGATAGTTCTGTGAAAACTGAAAAGTCAGAAGTTGCTTTTGGAGAAGGCCCATTTTCCCAAAGAGAAGACACTTCATTTTCACCAGATTCCTAGTGAAGTCAGAATCACTCCTACCTGTTAAGAACTCTGACAATATTTTACTCTAAAAGTGGAAATCACAGAAGTTCCTGAAATAGCAGATTGGAGGTAAAAATGAGTTCTAGGCAAGATGTCTTTATAAATGGTCAATCATAGACCTCCTGCTCTCCCATGAGCCTAAGCAGACGTTTTCCTGGCACTTTGACAGGTCTCAGGCCTTTCAGGCGTGTTCAGAAGTGACGCACAGAACTGCGGTGACCGCCGCCCCCGGCTCCATCTGTCCCTCCCTGCCCCTTCCACGGCACGCATGGGCTCTGCCGGCCTCACTGGGTAGGTGATGCTGAACCATTCCCAGTGCCTGCTCTGTGCCAAGCACCTTTAGGACATGACAGGGTTGAGCATCCCTAATACAAGGTGTTCCACAGCCCCGAACCTTGTGAGTTCTGACCTCACACCATAGTGGAGAACATGAAACTTCATTTCATGACCAAAATTATTAAACATATGATAGAAAAGTACCTCCAGGCTACATGTGCAAATGTACATAAAATACAATGAATTTCTTATTTAGACTCGGATCTCATCCCATTAAACTTCTCTCTCTCTCTTCATACACATACACACACACACACACACACACACACACACACACACACATTTTCAAAAACTGAAAAAGTCCCAGATCTTCAGTACTGCTGGTATTTCTGGTCCTGAGCATTTCAGACACTCAACCTGTACATTTCTTCTGTAACTCTTAAGGCTCATACTATTCCTATGCCCATTTGACACATAAGCAAACTGAGGCACAGGAAAAAAAACCACTTTTCTTGCCAGGATTCTGTTTCCAGGAATGGCATCCCACAGAAGCACTGGGTGAACATGTCCGAACTCGAGTTCATCTTCCCGAAACCTGTCCCTCTCTGCATTCTCCATCTCAGAAAGTAGCACCATTAGCTCCCTTGTTGCTCAAGTCAGAAGTCTGAGTCACCCTTGACTCCTTTATACCCTCTCCCTGTAGCCAGTCACCATCAAAGCGAGTAAATTCTACCTCTCAAAACCATCTCTGGAATCCACCACTTGTCTCAGTGCCCAAGTTCTATCTTCTGGGTCACATAATTGGTTCCCCACCCTCTAGTACCTACGAGCCAAGGACCTTCCAAATCCTAAGTCAGACTGTCTCATTTCCCTGCCTAAAGCCGCTCACTCACTTACCCTTGCACTCAGACTCCACAGCCCCGCTGAGAAGACCCTCCATGGCCTTCACCTCATCTTCCACCCTGCTGTGCTCCAGCCGAGCCAGACAACTTCCAGTTTCTAGTATCACCTGTGCCTCTTCTCTATGAGGACAGCACATGCTGCTCCTCCTACCTGAAAGACGTCCCCTGAACCCTGCTATCTCCTCCTCATTACCTGGATGCTCCATGAGGACATGATACCCATGTCCAGCATCATAATGTACTTGGCCCACAGCTGCCACATAAATGACGATTCCATGAACAAGTTCTTTGCCACATGCACAGGAATTGCTTCATGCCTACACATCCTACTTTCCAAACAAGCAAGTCCCTGTGGACAGAGACTCAGTAACTGCTGGAGCCCACAGGGAGCTCAAATGGATAAGTAAGGGGGCCTCACAAGAGTCCAATGCCATTGCGGGCAGAGAGGCATCTGTGCTACCATTGACCGGGAACACTTGTGTCTTATCTGTGATGGCATCTCTGGTAAGAAATAAAGCCAGGAATAAGCCTGGAGGGTCTGATTTTCAGTCCCGAGGCTTTTCCCTGTCGAACCCCAGTGCACATATCATGGAGTCCTCAGGAAATCTGGATTATAGAGAGAGTCTCCCGTTGGCAGGTGGGATTCTCAGCAGGTTGACAATGAGTCTGTTGTGCCCATCTGAGGCCACACACTCGACTGCAGCCTGGGCCCTGTGAGGGAAGCTGGCTCAGGCTCTGCTGACCTGTGCCCTGTCCTCCCCCATTCCCCAAGGAGCCTACCAGCCCGGGTGGCCCCACTGGTCACCAGTCTAATGAGGCCCTTCTTCTTGAGGATGACGCTGGTGCCGATGAGAAAGCAGGACAGGAAGGCCAGGCCCAAGCCGATGTAGAAACCATAGTTCTTCCTGATCCTTTCCTGCCAGGTGTCCAAGGTGGCATTTTTGGGCACCTCAGGGTTAAGGCCACTGACGATCTGACACAGGACTTCTTGGGAAGAGCAGTAGAGGCTGATCAGGGAACCTGCATGGGAAACCATGGTGAGAGTCACTCCAGGGAACTATGCACGCTTACAGATGTTGGCATCAGCTACTCTTTTCAACCTCCATGCTTCCATTACTGCAGGGCTCCACACACACACACTCTGGGCCCCAACCAAAAAATGTTAACATCCTCTCAGAGATTGCTCTGGCTAAGGGCTTTATTTGTATAAACTTATCCAGTTTTGGCAACCACTTGTCAAGTAATGTCTCTAATCCCCAATTCACAGGTGTGGAAGTGGAGGCAATGTGTGCTCAGGTACCTGCTTAAAGGGAGCACAAATTATCTGATTTCAGGGCTCCAACAGGTAGCACTGATGCCATACATACCAGGCAGTGTCCCCGAGCTGTCCAGAATGATTAAGTCTGTCCATCCCCCTGTCCTCTGCAGGAATTCCCCCTCGGGCTAGGGACATGTGGGTATCTAGTAGCTCATGGTCCCACTCAGGGGCCTCTTCACTTGCATCTCCCTCAGCTCTAGCTGCAAGGGAGGCTGGTCACAGGAGCTGAGACTAGACAGTCCACAACCCCTGTGTAGGCCTCAAGATGACTGAGTAGGGAGCCTCCCACTTGTGGGAACTGACCATTCTCAGGTATTACTTCTAAGCCCTTTGGTGCTTGTGGTCAGTGACCAGAATCTCCTTTGGGTTACAAAAGGACTGGTTTCCCTGCTACCCTATATAGACTCTGTCTATAATTTGCATTCTGCATGAGTCTCCCCTCATGGACCAGAACCAGCCCACCCTTTCCTCCCCATCTGCCATAAACACCATCGACGGTAAGGATGAACCTAGGCACCAGAGGCAGACCCTCAGGAAAAAACTAAGCCACATGATTTCCATAAAACAGCACGAAGAATAACCAACCACCCTCCAGTGCTGCCACACACATGGTCCTCTGGTCTGGAGTTTTCCATGAGGATCCTCACAACCACTCTATGAAACAGGCTCAATGATCCCTTCCAGGTCTTTAGTTGAAGAAACTGAGTTCAGTAACCTTCCTAAAGCTAGCTGATCAGTAAGAGGGGAGGCCAGAATTAGACTCCAAGCCATTAGATGCCAAAGCTCATGCTCATAATCACCACATACACTCCAATAAAGCATGCAGCAAGGGGGGAGGAGGCATCATCTGGCCTCCTAAGGGGCATTTTAGAATATGAGTCTGTTACCAACATTTAAAAATTGTGAGCATTTCCATGAAAATTCACATTTGGGGCCACACTTATAAATCAGAAGATCTGCATGCCTCCCTGGGTAAGCCGGGCAACCAATGCCTGCAGCTGGGCAGTGGGTGCCCCCTAGACAGCGTGGTTCTCTGCAGTTCCTCAGAGTCTCTTTAGTTATCTGTAGGCCTTCAAATTTGTGGCCCCCAGAGGTAGAAGGCTCTTTCAAGCTATGTATCACAAAGGCACAGACTCCAGTTCCAAGGATGGACCAGGATCTCTCAGACCAAGCCAGTGCCTGGAAGGGCCCCGAAGTTCAAGGCCAGGCAGCTCTGGGTTTGGCATGTCTGCAGCAGAGTGGCATCTTGGTGGAGCAGAATAAGCAATGCCGGCCCTTCTTCCATGGCATAGAATCACAGAAAAACAGAGCTGGTAGATCCTTTAAAAACCAGCCAGCCTAGCCCTCCTACTTCCAGCTGGGGAAACAGAGGCCCTGGGAAGGGAAAGGACTTGCTTGAGTCACACAAACGCCTGGTGGTGGATATGGGTCTGGAACCCACCAGGGACATCCACATGTTTGTTGCAATGGAAGACCCACCTTTCCAACACCCGTGTCACAATCACCGGAAGATGAGACAAGGAGCCATCACTGCTTCCCTAATCAGACTGGTCCTGCATTGCTCACTCCTGTTCCTCCAGTCCAGGCCTCCTTGCCCAAGAGCTGAATCTGGGGAGTTCCCTGAGCCCAGGAAATGAGCCAGAGCCTGGGGGAACAGGGCCAGGCAAGGCCAAGCTTATTCCCACACCCTTCCTCTGCCCCCTGAAGGTGTCTCTCTAGTAGGAGGAGCCAAAGGACTCATGGGAAACTTGGCTGTCAGTCACTGGGCAGCCTGTAGCACCCAGGAGCCCAGCACTCTTCACTGAGCCAAGTTCTCTCCCTACAGTGGAAAGAGAGGAGGTTGATGGCCTTCCTCTGAAAAATGGGGGATTCCTGTCTTCTCCCCCAGAATATGTTCGGGCTGGAGAACACAGTCTACCCAGGGACAAAGGGGAGGCTGAAGATGGCTCAGAAAACCCAGTCAGCCAGCGCACAACCGGCCAGCATGGAGCGCTTCACTGCAGAAGAAGTTGGAGAAATGGGGGTAGCCCGCAGACTGTCATTCCAAGGGCAGGTGGGAAAGAGTACGCACCAAGACCTGAGCTGAGCATGGTAGTACAGGTAGTGCTAGACCCAGAGCCCTGTCTTGCATTCTGTGTGCCCGCAGAATTGCCTTGAGCAAGTTACTCATCTCTTCAGGGCCTGTTTCCTTATCCCTAGAATGGGATTAGTAAAATCATAACTTTACCACCTCTTAGAGTGGCTTCAAGAATTAAATGAGATACTGCAGGGTGAGGCCTAGTCCGCTACCTGCTTTGTGGCCGGAACTCACCGAGCAGCCCAGGGTCTTTCCCTAACCCTGCATCTGCGGGTTTGGGGGCCCTGAGTTTCTGTGCCCCTGTCCCCTCTGTCCTGGGTAAGGACACGGCCCCATCTGGCGAGGGACGAGAATCAATAGTAACTGTACACTAACCCCGAGCCCCCACTTCGCAGGCCGCCTCTGGTCAGTCATACTCTACCCCCAGTTCCCTTTCCCCCTCTCTCTGCGCTCAGCCACCCCAGCAGCGGAGGTGGAAGTGAAGCCTAAGCTCGGGGCTGATCCTCAAGAGGGGTCTGAGAACGGAGTCACCCCGGGCCGGCCCCCAGGATGGGAAAGACGGGAGGGAAGGCTAGGGGCCGGAGCCGCCCAGGTCCCAGCCCGGCCGCACGCACCGTTCTCGCAGCTGGCGTTGCCGGCGCGCAGCTCCATGGGCCCCGGGCGCTGCGCGGATCGCGGGCGGGCGGCGCGCCCGGGCTCCGCGGCTCCCGCCGGTGGCCGCGACTCGTCCCAGCGTGGCACGGGCGCCGGGGTCCCGACCAGGGGTGGGAAGAGTGACGCGCGCCCAGAGGGCAGAGTCCCGGGGGAGGAGTCAGTCGGCGGCCTGGGCACCTCTGGGCGCTGGGGACCCGAAGAGGGGCGCATGCCCTCCTGGGGTGCGGGCGCCGCGGGGCGCCCAGCCGCGAGTCACCGCCAGTGCCAGGGCGAGGCGATGGGGCGTCCCCGGCCCGCCTCCCGGACGCCTGCGCCCGCCCGCGTCCCGGTTGCCCTGTTGGTTGACGACTGGCGGGGGATGGCAAGAAAGGGAGCGACCTTCCCGCCCAGGTGGAGTGGCAACGTGGGGCCTGCGAGGGCCCAGGGGTTGGAGAACCGGATTTCTTCCCTCCCTTCTCTCCCTCCTCTGCCTTTTTCACTGATTCATCACAGAAGTCTGATCTGCGCTGGGCACTAAGCAGGTAACAGCAGCACCGTGAGAGCCCTAAAGTGTTCGGTATACATTTATGTGACTGAATGGATGGTAGGAGACTGGTAAGTTAAATGAAAAGAAGAAATACAGGGATTTGAGACCAAAATGAGTCCGGCTGGTGGGTGCGGTGGCACGCACCTAAGCCTAACACTCAGGAAGCTGAAGCAGGAAGGCTGCCGCGAGTTCAAAGCCAGTCTGGGCTGCATAACCCACTTCCCCAAAAATCAGACCTAAAAGAAAAATAATCAGCCTTGAAAGCTAGAGATCAAACACGCCGGCCCCATCAGCCCCTCCTTGCCTAACCTGCCTACAGAGGAGCCACCTAGCAAGAGAAGAGCGATCCCCAGGAAGGCCAGGATAGGCTGATCCGGCAGCATGTTTGATCTCTAGCTTTCAAGGCTGATTATTTTCTGATTAGGTCTTATTTGCAGGGAAACAGGTGAGTTCAAGGCCAGCCTGAGCTACGTAGTGAGCCCCTGTCTCCAAAAAATACAAAAATCACACTATTACTTTTTCCCCAAGAGCTTTATACAATAATGGGAGAAATAGAATACGATCAACTATTCAGCTATAAATATTTTCCAAATTACTATTTAAAATGTATATATATATATAAAGAAAGTATGTAAATTATTTCTATATAAGATTGTATAAATTTGTATGCACATACACGCATACGTGTGATGAAGTATTTCTCTCCTGTGGGTAACCATAAAAACAAGGTTGAAGAGCACAGAGAGATGCTGTCAAAACCCTTACGTAGTGCTCGCTGTAGGCCAGGGAGTGTTCTGAGTGCTGAAAAACTCCAGTTCATGTAACCTTCATGAGTCTATGAGGTCCAAACTTTTATTATTCCCAGAAAGGAAACTGAGTCAGGGGGTGATCAAGTCCCTAGTCATGGACCCCACCTGGGAAGGTGAAATGCTGGGATCAGATTTATACTGTCAGCAGTCACACTAAGCCACCTGGTGTTTTAGGCTGAAATAAACGCCTGCTCCTGGGCCTGGAGGGCGCAGGGAGGCCAAGAAAGCAGGCATTGGTTCGGGCAGTGTTGGTCACCAACATCCTGGAGGAGGTAACTTTTAAAAGTAGTCATCCACAGAGTCTTCTCTATAGGCATCATGTCACTTAGGCCTCCCATGAAGCCGCTGCCCTTAGCCTCCCTGTGTGAGGGAGTCGGGGGGGAGCAGAGGTGCTGGGGTGCCCAAGCCTGTCCCGCTGTCATCGACCCCCACAACCCTGCTGGTGGGCTAACCAGGCCACGAAGGATGGCTTCTCCCCGCATGGAACTGATTCTCCCTTTCTGGAGTACGAGTACTGTAAACAAGTCACTTATTTTCCACAGGGCTCAGTTTTCTTGTCTGTCAGATGACACGGCCCCCTTTGGACCCTCTCTGTGTGTGAATTGTCACGGGGTTGGGGAATGGGAGGTAGGGCAGAGCCCAGAGGAGAAAGGTAGCTGCAGGCATTGCAAGCAGAACACATCCCCATCCAGGGGTCTTAAGCACCCTCAGGCCTGGCCCGAATTTTGGAAATCTGCACAAATGGAGACAAATACCTTCAAGACCATTCTGAATTAGGAGCCAGGCTGGCACGAAACTGGATGATTGGCTCTAGAGGAAATGATCCTCTGTTATGGAAACATACATACATCTCTGCTACCCAAAAGGGAGGATGTGACAAGTGAACTGACCTTTTTTTCCCTCTTACCTAAGCATCTCGGCAGCACAAATCCTCAGTGTGCTATAAAACTGTCTGCTCCAATGCTGGCGACGGTGCAGCCCTCAGATCAGCACTGCATTCAGCTCGATTGCTTTTGTTCTGAGAACACAGGACCAAAGACTTAGTGTTTCCCTAGGACTTGAGTTTTGGGTTTTCTCCAGCTTTGTCGAGGTATTATTGGCAAATAGAAATTGAGTATGTTAAAGGTCCACAAGATGATGATCTGGTTCACTGTGAGATGTTTACTTACCACAATCGAGCTGATTTATGCATTCACCCACTTCACCGCTACCTGTGTCTGTGGGGATGGAGGTGACCGAGAGGATTCTTGTGGTGAGAACACACAGAATCTAGTGGCCTCACTTCGTGTCTTGATCTTTGCAAGTCACAAGAGAGGAAGGTGCTTGGGTTGTGGTTCCCAGAGCTGCACCAGGCTCCTGAAAGACAGGTGCACGCCAGTGCCCTTTAATACATTCATCTTTATCTGTGTTTGTGATTTGAGGAGCCGCTAAGCTTCCAGGTCCTGGCCAGCGGTCATCTTGCAGAACTGAGTTCACCCTGTGCTTCGAGACAGGGCTGTTCAGATGCAGGTGAATAGGGGTTTCGGGGTGGTGGTAGGAGGTGGCGAGGCTGGACCCTCTCTAGGCCCCAGGCTCCCCATCTGCTGCAGGAGGGGGCTGGGCCCTCCCAGGCTGCCATGGGGCCTCTCTTCAGGGCAGACATAAAGAGCCCTATTGAACCCCAGTCTCCTCGGCTGCTGTCCTGACAAAGCCCTTTTCTCCTCCAGCCACAATGGCCCTGTCAGGCAGGTAGCAGGGCTTGCAGCTTTGTCTCCCCAGAAAAGAACAACAGGGTTCACTGTCTGTCCCAGGCTTGCTCTCCCTGGGGAGGGCAGAGGGCTTTGGAAGGGTCTGCCCAGCTAGGGACAGATGGGCCCTGTCCTTAGCCAGCCAGGGGCTGGTGACCACCCAGCTGGACCTTCGGGATGAGCAGGGCCACAAATTCACCAAAATCCAAGTTTCTAAAAATGTGACTTTTCAAAGTTCATGTCCAAATGTTTTGTGTTAAAGAGTTGCCGGGCCCCAGAGAGTAGCCACATGTCACTACTGAGCCCTTGATAAGTGGGTGGGTTATCAATGTAAGATAGCTCTGCCAGCATTTTGTACCGGATAAGCCTCTGATGTAGGTAGGGGTCTGTCCTGAGCATTGTAGGACCTTCAGCAGCTTCCTTGGCCTTGCTCTGAAATTACCAGGAACATATGTACATTTCCTCCTGTTGACCACTGGTTTTGACAACTAAAAACATCTGTAGATAATTGCCAAAATCACCCTGGATTGAGGACCACCCAGATTTCAAAGACTTGATAAGGAAAAAATGAATGTAAAATATCTCAGTGATTTTTAAATATTGATTACATGTTGAAATTATAATATTTTGGATATACAGGGCCAAGTAAAATATGTTATTAAATCCGTTTTCTCTGTTAGCCTATTTCTTTTTACTTTTTAAAAAGTGGCTACTACATATTTAAAATTATGTATATGGCTCACATGATGTTTCTAGGGCTGTTATAGGGGAAGAAGAGAGGGAAAGTGACCCAAGTGGAAGGTCAGACAGCAGCCAGGGCTCTGGTCAGGTCTCCAAATGGCACCCGGACCAACTCGGTTATTCTCTGCAGCTTCCCAGCTGAGAGGTCATCCAGAAACTAGTGTGTCAGGTGTTTCCAGTGTGACATGGTGAAGGAGCACAGGAGGAGGCAGAGCAGACATGAGCAATGTTAATGTTATTTATTGAGGGTTGCACTATGTCGTATACACAATCACTTGACTTTGCCAACAACCCCAGGAAGCAGGCTCCGTTATTATCTCCATTCCCCAGATGTGGAGGAGAAGTCTAGTGAGGACACCCAGCCTGCAAGTTGAGAAGCCAAGACTCAAACCCCAAATGCTCTTCAATCCTACACACATTGCCTAGTCCTTTACAGCTCTGCAGAGTCGGCCTGCTGAGCAGGGTGGGGAAGGATAGAAAGGTCACCTCCTGCAGGATGATGCGGAATCATGGGAATCTCAACCATCGGTATGCAGAGGCTGGCCCACACTTTCCGGGCGTGTCCCTGGAATGGCCACTGTCCTCATAGAGAGCTCTGTTGTCATCAGAAGTATGCTTAGAATGGACACATGTTTTCGGTCTATCTCTCTATCTCTCATAAGAGCTCTCTGCCCAGCAATGGGGTCCACACACCACTGGCCTTGATAACGGTTATTGAAACAGTGCTGTTACTGAGCTCTTCCTCAGTGGGCTAAGCGCCTTGCACACGTTGCTCTTGTGGTCATTACAACCTGGGTACCATCTGAAATGCCATTTTACAGAAGAAGAAACTGAGGCTCGGAGAGCTAAAGTGACTTCCTGCAGTCAGACACAGTGAGAGGGACAAATTCATAAGCTGGGCTTGTGCGTCCCCAGAGCAGTAGGACTCTTAACCGAGGCACTGGTTTGGTGAGGCCAGAACCTTCTTTCCTGTACCCTTCTGGTCCTCCTTAGTGCAGGGCAGCTGTGAAGACTGGGCCCCTGCAGAAACCACAGTGAGTTCTGTATTGCTCCATTTGCTCTCATTCAGAGTGCTGAAAAGGCTCACTTAATCCTACTTTCTTGGTTTGCAAATGGGGAAACTGAGGCACCCACCAAGGCTAGATCGTGCCTTACGTTACTTGATGAATTTGTGACAGCCTTGGCACTTCACTAAAAGTTGCTTGAAATTCAGTCTAGCACCTTTATCTCCTATGCTTTCTTTCTGGGCAGAAAAAGCTGCTTTGAAGGCAAATGATGTTAATTTTTTAATCATTTTTAATTTTTCCTACAGTACTGGGTAACTTGCTAGGCAAGTGCGCCACCACTGAGCTACATTCCTAGTCCTTTTTATTCTTTGTTTTGAGACAGGGTCTTGCTAAGTTGCCCAGGCTAACCTTGAATTTGACCCTCTTGCCTCAGCCTCCCAAATACCTGGGATTATAGGCATGTGCCCCTGCTCCCAGCATGTG